CCAGCGTAAGGTGAGACTGTCATTAGAAGCATAATAATATAACTGAGTTAATGAGGCTGCCTCTTCTGGTTAGTGTGATGAGTACTGCACGGTTAGCACTGGTTGCTGATGTGGTTTAAAGTTCTTTTTTCCCCAGCAAGTGGTTTGCAGATTGTGAAATCTCCTTTTCATTGCTGCACATCACATTCATACTGATGTCATACCTGTGAGCCGCTGAATTGAGCACAATCTGTTTCTGTGTGCTTACTTAGAAGTTCCACTGGAGCACTGAGGGGGTTAGACTAAGGAGTAGTGAGGGGGGTAGGTACCTTGTAATTTGGTGATGTGGTTTACTTAGTTCTGTTCATGACTGGCTAGATATGATTTGTGTTTTGCAGCCTAAAACTTTCAGATGTTTAGTTTAGTTTAGTTTAGTTTAGTTTAGTTTAGTTTAGTTTTGGAAAACTCAAATACAGCAGTTCAGGCGTATATAACATCGTCAAGGATAACATCATGGTCCCTGATTTTCCATCAGACCTACCACTACACAACAAAATTTAGACAGTCAAAAGCGGAATATGCTCGACCACAACATGCCGCATCCCATCACAACAACCCAACCACAGATGTACATGCCAGTAAAAAACAAAAATACACATATACATTCTTTGTTTTTTATAAGAACCCCAATTTCAGTGTACAAAACAACCATGACCTTATTTGCCGATGCTTTCCAGCAGCCTGTGTTTGAACATTTTCTTAAAGGCTTGTGGGTTCTGCACCTCCTTTATTGCAAGAGGCATTTTTTACCACCCTGTATCACCAGCTCAGACAAAAGAAACCTTACCCATCATGGTTTTGAATCTGTAAAGACTCAGGTTAGCTACCCTATCTCTGATACTGTGATTATGGTTTTCTTCTAACCTCTTACAACCCTAATTCCAAAAAACTTTAGACACTGTGTAACACAAAAATAGAAATCTTTTTTGAACTATATTCAACTGATTAAGGTACAAAGACAGGATTCCAGAACAGTTGGGACAGGGGCAGTAAAAGACTGGGAAAGTTTGTGAATGCTCAAAACACCAGTTTGGAACATTTCACAGGTAAACTGGTTAACAGGGAACAGATTAATGTATCATAATTTGCCATGAAAGGGGGATCCTCGAAAGGCTCAGTTGTTCACATGCAAGGATGGTCACTTTGTGGAAAAACTGTGGGGGCAAACAGTCCAACAGTTTAGAAACAGCATTTCTCAATGCCCATTGTAAGGAGTTTTGGGATATCCCATCTTCAATCGATAATCTCATCAAAAGATTCAGAGAATCCAGAGAAATCACTACACATAAGGATCAAGGCTAAAAAACATTACTGAATGCCCATGACCTTTGATCCCTCGGGTGGCACTACGTTAAAAAAACAACATGATTGTAAAAAGGATTTTTCTACAAGGGCTCAGGAACACTTGGAAAACCACTGTCAGTAAACACAGTTCATTGCTGCATCTACAAAGCCAAGATAAGTATCTACCATGCAAAATGAAAGCCATATATCAACAACATCCAGAAATCCCACCGACTTCTCTCGGCCTGAGCTCATCTGAAATAAACTGATGCAAAGTGGAAAATTGTGCTGCTAGGTGACGAGTCAACATTTCTAATTGTGTTTGGAAATCTTGGATGTCGTGGCTAAAGAAGGAAAGGACAATCCAGAAAGATTAAAGCCAGCATCTGTGATGGTATGGGTGGTGTATTAGTGACACCACAGGTAACTTGAACATCTGTGAAGGCACCATGAATGCTGAAAGGTACATAGAGGGTTTTGAAGCAACATATGCTGCCATTCAGAAGACATCTTTTTCAGGGACATCCTTGTTTATTCCAGCAAGACAATGTCAAACCACATTCTGCACATGTTACAGCAGTGTGGCTTCGTAGTAAAAGAGTGCAGGTGCTAGACTGGCCCGCCTGCACAAAATACGACAATACAGACCCCAGACTGTCGAGCAACTGAAGTCCTCAGTTCCCGAATGCTTCCTAAGTGTTGTTAAAAGAAAAGATGATGTAACACAGTGGTAAACATGCCCCTGTCCCAACTTTTTTTGGTTTTGCAGCCAACAAATGCAGAATGAGTGTAAATTTACAAAAACATTTTATCAGTAAATATCTTGTCTTTGGACTATATTCAATTGAATGTAGGTCTGGAAGGATTTACTAATCGCTGCATTTTGTTTTTATTTAAGATTACACAGCATGCCAGCCCTTTTGTTGTAAAATAATTGTTGAAGTAATTGGGGGCTTTGCTATTTAAGAACCTATAGACCATATTAAGTTGGATATAACATGCTCTATCCTCAACTGGGAGCCTTTGGAGCTGAAAGACCTGAGACCTGCCAGCATGACTGCTATGATCCAGTCCTAGCACTACTCAGACCAATTTGTTTTGTACTACTTGATACTTCAAAGATGATTGCTAAGGAAGAAACAGAGATCTACATTTCACCACTGATGGCAGACTAGTAGCTGCAACAAATTAGGAAAAAAGTCAGTAGACCAGAATGCTGGTTCATTTTTGATTGGTTTTGACACCATTCAAAATCAGCCTCTCACAAATAACTATACAGGATTCAGATGTAACACACAGGCCACACAGTGAGTGTGGAGCTGAGATATTTTTTTAAAAAAAAATTTGGACGAATTTTGACAGAAAACTCAAACACTGTTATGAACTCGAACACACAGTAGAAACTACTGAAGCTGCACACAAGACTGAGTTTGAGCCTTTGATTACCAAAGTTCATTTTTGACCTTTTAAAAAGCAGCTTACAAAACAATCTCACCTCATGGTCCATTTAGTAGCTCTTTTAAGCTTTTGACTATATCACATGATCTTCTTCAGCTGATGGAAGTTTCCTAGTAGTCAGGGAAATACAGATGTTCCATTTTTACTGAACAATGTTGTGTCCTTGTTGTCTTTACATTTGTGTTCATTTTTGACCTTGAAAGCAACAGTTGACAAAGAATCACACCTTAAAATTCATTAAGTTGCTGTCTTGTTTGATCATATCACATGATCCCAAACCTTCGTTTTCAATTGTTATTCCTGCCAGTTTATAGCTCATGCAGATGAACCTTTGTCTTTTATTGAGGACAATAAGCATTCTGTTTAAAGGGATAGCTCGGTTTTTTGGAAGTGGGGTTGTATGAGGTTCTTATCCATAGTCAGTGTATTACCTTCAGTAGCTGTAAGTTGGCACGCCCCCTGTTTGGAGAAGCAGACGGGAGTATCACCAAAGAAGCTCAGGAATGTACTGCTGGGGATGGAGGTTAGAGGTAAATTGTATTTTAGCTGCTTAAAAAACTTCTACATACAAAAAAACAATATCAGCCTAAATGGACAATGTATTGGGAATATTTTGACTGCTTTACCTTTCCATCAGACAGTACTTTGCTTTGGCACTGTGTCGGAATACAGTACGCAGCACAGGTGCGCTCATGTGTAGGAATACCAAAGTTCTACGGTTGAGAAAATGCAGTGCCAAAAAAAGGGGCTGCCTTTCAGCAAGGTAAAGCAACGAAAATATTTTCAATATAGGGTCCACTTAAACTGATATTGTTTTTTTTTTTTTTTTTTTTTTAAGGTAGGACTGTTTTTAAGTGACTAAAATACCTTTTGCTGCTAACCTCCATCCATAGCAGAACATTGTATATCTTCTGTGGTGGTACTTCCATCTGCTTCTCCCAACAGGGGGCATGCTGACGTACATGTACTGTAGGTAGAACACTGACTATGGATAAGTACCTCATACAACTTCATATAAAAAAATCAGAACTATATATCAGGTATATATCATGTATATCATATGTACCCATACAGGCATGCAGTATGTACACTGTTTAACTATTCTCGCTTTACACTGACATGTTACGGAGTTAGAATTTTAGAATATTATGTTTTAGCACAAACCAAGGGTTGTTTTTTCCTAATTTCACCACTGCAAATTACCGTTTATTTTGTTAAATCACGTTTCCTTACAACACAGCTGCAAAGATTAGTCGATTAGTCGATTGACAGAAAATAAATTGACAACCAATTTCATAATTTAATAGTCATTTTAGTCAGTTTTCAGGCATAAAAGCCAGATATTAGCTGGTTTCATATGCCATCAGTGTGGGAATTTGATGCTTCTCCTTGTTATATTTGATAACATACTGGGTAGCGTTTGATTTTTTTTTTTTTTACTTTTGTTCGGATTAGACATACCATTTGAAGACATCACCTTGGGTTGGGAAATTACACAGGGCCTTTTACACTATTTTCTGATACCTATCGACAAAACAATTAATTGATTAATAAAGAAAATAATAGGCAGAATAATCAATAAAGAAAAAAGCAAAAATGCAAATGCAAAAAGTTTAAACAATTCTTAACTGTGTTGCATGAATCAAAGGTTTGTTGTAATTAGTGCCGTGGCAAGTAAAGTTCAGCCTCTTTGTGTCTGTGCGAACCTGTAGGTTGTTTTCTAACCCAAAATACTTTCCAAAAGTTGTGTTGTGGAGAAGCTGTGTTTTGCACAGAGCAACATCCCAGAGGGGGCTGTGTGTGTTTTGAGAGCAGGAGTGTTTCCCCCTGTTTAACAGCAAAAACCAGGCTGCTGCTCACAGTGACTCTACTGTGTTGAAAGGGTTCCTCTCAATGCTACTGTGTGCTCACCGGGAGTTATTTCCACTCGCCCGCTGCATTGAAGGCAGGGTGGGGAAGAAACATGCCTACAGATGGCCACTCACAACTCCAAGCACGCCCATTTACGTGTGTGCAAAGAGTCATTCAGAAAGACACACACTCATAAGAGAGTCTGAGTGCTGAACAATGACATGCAACTGCCCAGGATGTCTACATCACTTCCTGTGTTTGTGAAAAGTTATTTGGTGTTGCTGTGGAAACCGAATGTAATATTGAAAAATCCCCCCTCTCTCTCTCTCTCTCCCTCTCTCTCGCTGTGGCTCCCTTCCTCTCTGTAGAGAAGAGCCAGTCCATACGGGAGAGCCAGGCCCTGTCCCCAACGCTGGCTGCCGCTGCCAGACTGTCGGCGATGATACACGGCAAAGACAGAGTGTACGCCAACACCATGCTGGTGGATCAGGTGAGTCGGCCTGAAATGAGTGTTTCTTTCTGTGTGACCGTATACAATATACATCAGTAAAATGGTTTATAACATTAAATTAAAAGCAGAATTAGCTCATATGATGTAAAATGTTCCATTACAGGGGCCACAACTCAGCCTGTGTAATGGTTCCTTCACTTTCTCACTTCTCTGTTCCAGGTGGACGACGCTGACATTAAATACCGCTCTCCAGGGGAGGAAGTGGGGATCCCTGCACCCCATGTTGGCAGCCCATGCTGGGACTTCTCCCCCAGGACCCCCCCTGACTCAGGGAACTGCCCCCAGAACCGGCACCCATCCTCACCCCACAATGGAGAGAGGGGAGTCCAAGGCCCCAGCCTGGAGAATCACAAGGAGCCATCTCCTCGCATCTCTCCCCCCTCTCCCTTTACTTCTTCCCCGTCTTTTCCTTCCTCCCCCCTGGCTTCCGCCTTCCGTTTGTTCGAGGGAGCTCAGAGGCGTCAGATGCAGCCTTGTTTGCCAGTTTCTCCCGCTTTGAACCACAGAGGATGCAGCCTGACTGAGGCGAGCCGTGGCCTGAGGTAGGACAGAAAATCAAAGGCACTCAATCTGTGAACTTTTATATATTTAATTGCAACACTTTTAACGTGATTGCATCACAACTAATTGAGTTTTATATTTTAAAGTGAGAGAACAAACATGCTGCATTATGGCCAACTAGTTTCCCTTCATTTTGAAAAAACAAGATCAGTACACCAATTCTTAAACTTGCTGTCGCCTTCCCGTGACTAACCCATTCCGAGACAACAAAGGTATCATCTGCTTGGAATTTCAGCAAAAGCATTTCTGGACATTTTGTGAGGTGATTGTAGTCAGTGAAGGTGCGGAAAAGTGACAGGAAGCCTGGACACAATTGAGCTGTTTGTGTTGAAGCTGTTGTGCATTCCTTCCAGTTTCCTCAGTGTTGCAGGATCCTTTCTGTGTGCACTGAAGTCAACAAATTCCCTCACAGTTTAAAGCATGGTTATAGCATGATGACTGGTGATGACCTAGATCATCTGCACTTATCTGTGCAAAATAGTGGAGGTCATTGTGGATATGAACACGGCGTTTTTTGCCTCCAACTGATGCCTTGACTTTTGACATTCAGTTTGTTACCAGTTTAATATAATCATGTAGACTGAAGTAGCAACAGTCATTAATGGATTTTTACATGTTTGCACCTGTGCTTGTGTGTGTGTGTGTGTGTGTGTGTGTGTGTGTGTGTGTGTATAAACAGTCCTAGTCTTGAGTGTGACAGTGGCGAAGAGGACATACTGGGACATTCCTACCCCTGCTCATCTGTAAAGAAGCAGTACATCCTGCGATCCAGCTCAAGAGAGGAGAGGGACTCTTTCAATGCCTCACCAGACTTCAATCGCACGCACTCTGACAGCACGCACACGTCCACCAAGGTAAACCTTCGTTAAAGCTGTTGTTGGTAACTATGTTTAACCAGTCAGAGCCGAGGAGTTTCTAATGCAGCTGTCATTCATGTCAATCACTGCTCTTAAACTGCAGTCAAACTGTTTCTGTGACTGTGACTGTATTGTTACTGTATTGTATTTCTCGCCTCAATGTATTCAGTATATGTATATGTATTCAGAAACATTTTTTAGTGTTCTGTTTAGCTGTAAAATGAGAATGTTTGTGACCTGGCTACCATGTGGAAAACAGTCTGTGGAAAACCAAGCCCCTCCTACCAGCAGGGTCACAAACATCCTTATTTTACAGCTAAACTGTACACTAAAATATGTTTCTGATTTGAGGTGAGAAATAGGGGATGCAGTAACAGATTCTTGATTCGATGATCAGTGCTGCCTAGTTTGACAGTTTGACCACAGTTTATGAGCAATGATTGAAATGACTGACATCAAGGTTAGAGAATCCTCTGCTCTGATCGGTTGTTTCTGCTCACATGTGGGGGATTCTTGCAAATGCAAGTAGAAGCACTTAGAGGAGGCAGAGGAATATCATTTCAGTCAGGACCACTTTAGTCACAGAAAACGTTATCTTCATTTACAGTATTATATTTGGCAGTATGGCTCTGTTCTGGGGCCTTTCTGCCTTTTCTAGGCCTATGCAGAAAGCCTAAGGCGGAAAGAGCACACCTCCCTGCCCTTCCGTGTGCCTACATGGAAAGCCTAAGGCAGGGAGAGCAGCAGCAAAAAAAAAACCCCGGGAACAGAACAGAGCAGCATCAATGACAAACAGAAACAACATTGATAAGTCAGACACAGCATGAAAAGGAGGAGCTGGGGTGGAGGTGGGTTGCATAGCGGCTTGCAGAGTAAGCAGCAACAGTAGGCAGGCCAGAGCAGCTTAAATATGGCACCCTGAATGAGATTTGCAAATTGGTTGCATAGAAAGGAATCATGTGATCTATCAGTTGACTCCCCTCCATCAATCAGCTGCTCCATCAGGGTTGTTTGAGATCAGCTGATGTAGCTGGGATGTGAGGGTTTTTTTTATTTTTTCTAAAAGTTCCCAATTACAGCTTTATACATGTTATATTTAATTTCCAGTAACAGTGTTTTTCTCCATGTGTGTGGAAAACTTCTCTCCCTGGTTCTCTCACTCCTTTATTCTAAACAGCACATTTTAACACTCTTTATGACTATATTGCTCTCTAGACAATGCATTCAAAAGGTTTTGTTTATTCTCGCTGATTGCCTACTTTTTTGAGCTCGCTCAATTGCTGGAGAGGTGTACAACAGTTTAATTTGATACTTCATTTTACAGATATGCAGGTTGTTTGTGTCTTTTTTACTTACCTTTATTACTTATTAAAACATTTGCAGCAGGATGTCTAGTAAAATGCACATTAAACAATAAAACTCAAAACAGTAAAGGCAAAGTAAAGTACTACAACAGACACAGCCTGCCCTACAGTCAACAGGTGATAACCCCAGACTGTCAGCAGCTCAGTAATGTGATGAGAGTTGAACTGAACCTGTGAACTTTTGCTTGCTTCTCTGCCTGATCGGTTCCTTCTGATCTGCTCTCTCACCCAGAACCCAGAGGAAGCTGAGGTTCGCCTGCGCTCCTACTCCTACTCCTCCCCAAAGGCGAAGCCATCACGGCCACTGCTAAACCGAGACGCCACCATCACTGACCTGGCAGAAGGTGAGTGAACTTTAACCCCTTAGCCTTGTGACCCTTCCGTTCCCAGGAGTCAACTGGACGGACACATGAGCCACATGTCTAAAGGGGGAGGAACAGACAGGTGTCATAAATCAACTGAACCTCTATAAAGTATCTGTGTGTTTAGTGTCAGCACTGCTTTCATACAGCACCACCAATACTTGTGTGTTTATGAGCACATGTGAGTGTGCAGCATTAAGGCCATGCTTTGTCCTGTGTAGATGGTGCATTCAGCAGCAGCGGCCGTTCTCTACTTCAAGCTTTATCTCTCTCTAAATCCCTCTCTCGTCTCAACCAAGTTAGTAAGTACAAGAACGGCTTCAAACAGCATTTTAGGGGCTGCTGGTTGGCTGGTGAATAAAGTGTCTTTCTACTCTTTCTGGTGAAGTGTGGGATAAACTGGTGATTATCAGGAGCTGCACCATTAAAATGCATTCCTAAACTTTCTATGAACAAGCGTAATTTAACAGTATGTTTATACAAGATGAGAAAACTGTAGTGAAATGACTGAATTAGTCTTGTTGTAGGAAACAAATCCTTTCCTGTGCATTTTGCTGTAAAATGATTTGCTCAGATATTTGATTTCACACAATTTTGCAAAACAATGATGTTTCTCATTGTGGCCCAAATTGTGCAGCCCTTTATCTGTGGTGGGGTTTTGTTTTGGTGGTGGGTGCGGCACTCACATTGTGCAATGCACAAACCACTGTCTCAGAGAAAAACATATTCATTATTAGTTTAAATTGGTAAAAGATCAAAAGCAGACTTTCTCCAAAGCTTGATGTTATAAAACAATAGTAATCAAAACTTCACTTATTTATACGATGACTGACAAGTAGAGGTTTGAAACTTTGAGACTGGGCTTTTTTAATATCCTGAGGCTTTGGAAAAACACTCTTTACATAACTCTTATAGACGATCTGAAGGAGGAGTTGTTTCTACCCTGAGGGCTCTGTTCTGCTTCCATTTTGGTTCATATTATGTTTCCCTCTTGGTTTTGATTTTTCCATCTTTGGTGTCATCTGGTTTTTCGGGGCAAAACTCTTGTGTTGTGTTTGGTCTTTCTCTGAAGGGGTTTGATCCAGACTGTTTCAGGGATTCTTCATGTTTGCTTCTTACTCAGATCTGATTGGGGGTGATGGTTTTTGACGCCCTCAGCTGATTCACTTAGAATCTGTGACAATGACTTCAGTTTTATTGACATGCATTTCTCACTCACCCATTTGCCTGTTTTTGTTTTTCTACTCTACAGAGCAGAGAGCATTCAGCCTGACTGATACTGCCAGAGAAAAGAGGTAAAACTAGCGTGTCATTTCATGAGCTCAGGAGCAATCCACTCAGATGTTCCCCACTTTTTAGGCATCAGTGTTGACCAGCGTTTAGAGATTGGCTAGATGTGCCTACACATGTGTATGTGTATCTCCAGAAATAAACCTGTGGTTGGGGTTTGAGTGCGCAGGATGCAACATACTTCCTGTTGTAAGGCAGAGGCCAGAAAACGCTCTGATTGCAACCACAAATAAGCCTACATAAACAGCAAAACTCACAACTTTTCTGGACTCCAGACCTCAGAAACACTTTGCTAAATTCAAGCTGAATATGTACTATATACACATTGTAGTGTATATTTTGAAGACACACTGTGAACTCTGACAAGTTGATCTCACTTTAAAACATTTGAGAAACCAAGGGAATAGTTATATTTACTTACTTTTTCAAAGCACTTGGTCTCCTAAGATCAACTTGCCAGATTTCACAGAGTAGATTTTCTGAATTAACATTTGTTCTACAATCCTAACGTGACAAATCGTGCTTACATTGTTCTCATCTCATAATTCCCACAATCCATATTCATTTTATAGTTTATTTCATCTCACCACCTCATAAATGTATCATGTGCTAATACATTTTGTTTGATAATAACCATGCATTGCTAACAGAGGAAACATTTCACAAGATCATATTAGGCAATTAGATTATAATATTACATCACTGGAATATTGCGTTAGAGTAGATCATATTAATACTGCAATATTCACAACACCAGCCTTATCAGACTCACCAACCATTTATGTCGGTCATAATATCAGGATCCATTCAGTGTTAAAATTTGGAAGTTGCCTCTGCCTTAAGCATCGGCTAATACATTATATGGTTTCCTAATTCAGTATGTAGCACAAACATTCACGTGACTGTCCACATGCAGTTGTCTTACTAAAGAAATGGTGTATAGACTCTAATCTTAGATGCCACACACCTTATTAACATTTTGAGTCAAAACAGAACAACATGGTCTGAGGTGTGTTATATCCATGCAGGGTTTTGGGTTTCCGTAAGCGGGCCCAGTCAGCAGAGGAGGAGAGCAGCGCATCGCTCCAACATCTCACCCTCACAGAGTTCCTCAAAGAGTATGTTTTCACCAAACAGCCTCACAGCCATGCATGTGTGGCTTAACTCATTCTAACCCCCGCCATAAAACCATTGCCCAACTCATCCATTAACCACATGGTTTCTTTGCAGCTGTATTTGCTCATGTGTGAATCCTCAGAAGATGATGTTAACACTTTAATGTCAGGTCACAGTATATGTTTGATGTGACGTTGCATGTTTCTCCTCTTTACGTTCTGTCGTTGTCACCTTTCACCTAGAGTGTGTACTGTAACTAGCTTAAGCTGCTGTAAATAGTTGACACATTATTAATTGCATCTTGTCAAGGTCATACTATAAATAGCATCCACTAGAGTCCATAGTGACTTCCAAGCATGCCAAGCATGTTGTCAAGAGTAATAGTGTGTAGACCAGGGGTCCTGGAAGACTGTCTGGACATTCTTTCATTCCAGCATGACACCAAAGTGCCTGATTATTCAACTCTTATATTAAATGTACTGAAGTAATGATTTGTCATATAAAGAATGTGCATGTTGGTCCTGAATGCTGCAGTCTTCCACAGGCCAAAATGATGGTAGGAGTTGTGATGGCTGCTGACTGAAATGTTTACACTGAAACAGGATCGAGGATGAGGAGTGGGATAAATACATAATCCCGTCTAAAGTCGAGTCGGAGAAGTACAAAGTCAGCCGGACCTTCAGCTTCCTCAAGAGCAGGATGTCCAGCACTCGCAACAAAACTAAGGTGACAACACAGTGGAAAATACTGTGTGATATATCCATATTATATTGATATCGTGGTACTAGACAAGATATCGATTTTGGATATTGTGATATTCTAAGTGTTTTCTTTTCCTGTTTTGAAAGGCTGCATTTTTGTAATTGGGTTTCCATTCAAATTTAGCTCAAATTTTAACCAAATTTTAAGAAATAGGCAAAAGAAATGAAAGTTTATGCACTTTTTGACCCACTACGAAAGCAATGCCTAACAGAGCACACTGGACAATGGAAATAGAGTTTTGAAATGTAGCCATGGGCTCTTAGAAGAGTTCTGATAACAGCCCTGTGTGCATAAGCATGTTAAAAGCATAGACTGTATAAAGTTAGGGATGTAGCTGTGTCACCCATTGGTTTGTGGGCTTATGTTTTAAAGGTTTGAGTTCAGCATTTCGGCCATTGCCATCTTGGAGTTTTACAGCCAGAAGTGACAAAATTTAGATAAGATGGTGGAGCTGTGGAGGAGCAAGGCGGTGATCTGACACATAGCTGTAGTGATGCCTCGCAGGCAGCCTGTCACTTAAGCAGCCCCGCCCTTAATTTAATAAAATGTACAGGGGCAAGTTTTTACAAAGTATATAAAGTTTTGGGGTTTTTTTGTATCAGGCTGTAAACATTTTTATTTCTGCAGTTAAGTTGGGCATTTTAACATGGGGGTCCATAAGGATTGACCCTGCACCGGGGCCAGACTCAAGTGGCCATTCAGAGAACTGCAGCTTTTGTCACTTAGGAGTTGCCGTCACATTTCAGCCCTTGAGGTTGCTGCTTGGTTAAAAGCCTCCAGAGATGACAAAGAGAGCTTGCAGTGGCTTATTCGATGACCATAAATCATCATTCATGCACCGAAATTTCGATATTTTGGGGGATTTTTGTTGTTTGCACCCAGGTTTTTATTCATGTGCAAACTGAGAATGTGCATGAAAAGAGGTGCATGGAAAAGCACTTAGTACATTTGACAATAGCATTGCAATATTGATGTGGAGGTATTTGGTCAAAAATTTCAAGATATTTGATGTACTCCGTCACCCAGGCCTAAAATATGATTCCTGTTGGCTAAGATTTCACCTACATGTGTTTAAAACATGATTGTGTAACCCGGCATTGTTAAACTTTAAAAAACGAAAAAAAAAAAAAAAAAAAGAAGTCAGAGGAGACCTCCCAAAGTAGTGCAGTAAAAGGTTTACCACCTCTCAGACAGGCCAGGTCAGAATTCCTGTGCAGGGGAGCCATTGTCTGTGTGCGGTGCCTTTATTTGGCCAGGGAGAAAATTCCCTCTCCTCAGGTCTTAGCAACGGGACACAGTGAAAATATCCTCTTACATAATGCGTAGACCCCCCTCCACACAGCGTGAGGAGCCAAAACACATTCCATAGTACACTTTCAATCTCATGAACACGTGTGCATGCGTTCAAGAACATGTTTCCATGTATGTGCAGACCCACGATGCACACCAACAGTCCAAAAACAAACATACACTCTCAGACCTTGTAAAGCTTGATAAGAAAATAAACATCACACTATTGCACACATGCACAGAGGAATCCCCTTAATGCCCCCCCCCCCCCCCCCCCCCCCCCCCCCCCCCCCCCCCCCCCCCCCCCCCCCCCCCCCCCCCCCCCCAAGGGTAGAGCGCCACAACAGCAGTCGTCCCCATGGACTTTAGCAAAGTAAACAGAAAGGCTTGCTCAGAGGCCCCTTTATCTCAACTAACTCAACTTTAACAGGTGTGTTTCAGCAACAGGATGACCGCTACATGCCTCTTTGTGCCTGCTGCTCAGCGTTATGTCATTTCTACTTTGGTGGTTTACATGATATCGTGGCATTAGCTGCAGTAAATGTCAGCTGAACGAGTACATTGAAAATATTTATGACTTATGTTTCAGGTGAAGGGGAAAGAGGTGAAGGAGGGAAAGGAGAAGTCAGGAGCCACTAATGGACACCAGTTTGTTCCTGTGTCTCCATCTGGTCCCGCTCTCTGTGTGGCCTGTGATAAGTCTGTTTCTGGGAAGGAGCTATTGCAGTGCTCCAGTGAGTATTATACTGTCAGTACTGTTGTTGTTTTATGTCCTGTGGTGGCTGAACTGTTTAGGGTTTGTGTATATGTCTTCGCACATGCTGCCTTGATGTTTTGTTTAGCAGAAGACATGGAGTCGCTTTTCTTCCTCTCACAGAGTCAACATCCATCATGAGGAGCAGGACGGTTTGACAGCCATCTGGACACTGAATCCAGAGATGTGGTAATTTTGTTTATTATCAGTTCACTGATGAAATTAACTGGGATTTCATTTGTTTTTGTTTGCAGACTGTTTCCTGAACGTCCATAAAAACTGTCGAGAGTCTGTTGCAGCCTGCGGGAAGGTAACCACCAACATAACACACTTCATTTAATCTGAAAACCAACAAGCAAGAGAAAATTTCAAATAATAATAAAGGAAGCATCAACCCACTCAAAACACAACCCAGATACAAACAATGTGGTGTCATTTCAAGAATGTCGAGAGTCATACTGAGCTTCTTTTTAAATGTTGCATGATTTCATGAGTCACATATTCTCTCAGGGAGGAAGTCTTTTTTCAAATTTAAGGGGGCGCTCCACAAAACAGATTTGTCAAGTCTGAGAAAATACTGATGTCATGTTAATTATTAGTGACTAGTCCATACCCAGGGGTGTATTATGTATAGAGGAATAAGAAATCAAAAACAGTATATTAGAGGAGATGCAAAATCAGAGCACTGTAAATGCACTATGTAATAAATATTAAACAGTGCACACTGTATTTAGAAACATGCTTTATGGCAAAATATGTGGAGCATAGTTTTGGCTGACGGCACGGAGGCACGCACGTGTGCGGGGCCGTGTGCGGGCACACAGGTACACACATACACACGCAACACGGAGAAAGAATGAAAGAAACAGTGCAAAGTGCACAGCGCAATGTTTAGTTTGTAATGTTCGTAGGCTAATGTCAGTAAAGTGAAAATACGTAATGGCTGGCTCGCACACACAGATGCGCGTTCATTCAGTAAAATAATTACCTTAGTCTTCAGCAAGTGTTGGTGCTTGAAATTGCATGTCCCAAGGGGTTTCCGCGCATGCGCAGCTCGTGCTGCTAATGGTGCTTGCAGTATGAATGGGTAGTGGAAATGCGAATATAAACAGTAGAAATGTGGGAAAAATGCAAAAACGGCATCGTGGCTGTCTGCACATGACCAAGATGAAAGCCTATGTGCAAGTTCAGAGAAATAGGTCAAAGTAGTGAGGAGGAAAACGGATGATGACAGACGGAGGGACAGAGGTTTCTCCATTTAATAGTAGGATAGTAGGATAGGATTAATAGTAGGATAGTAGGATGCACAGGTCAGGGTTTTTAAAACCTGCAACAACCAGCCTGATATGAGAGCCAATTTTCCGTCATTTCCAGTAAATATCAGAGCATAAAACGTGTGTTTTCTGTTTTAAAAGCAGGCTACAAATGTAGGAAGACAGCCGTAGTCACCCATGTTTAAAATGGTTACGTCTCGAGTACACAGCTGATAACCTACCTGGTTTGTCTACATGAGCGCACAGCTGATCAGTACAGTGGTTTGTTTACATGACATTACAGAAGTGCATATTTAACACAGCCAGTGTGGACAGAAAGGCACTTGCTCGCTTGCTGTTAGGACACAGTGTGGAGCCTACACATTTGCAGAGGGAAATATTTTACCTGACATTATGTCCGGAGAGATTTATATATTTTGGAGTCAGAGCTTCAACAGATTTTTCTGGTCAGAAGCCGAATAACTAAAAGCCTGATCACAGCAGCACTGATGATAAGGCTGCTTGCCGTGCGAGAGAGAGACGGAGAGAGTGAAAGAGAAGGTGGAAGCAGGATTATTGCACAATGTCCCTCTAAGTTATTGATTGTTATTATTTCTTGAAGATGTTTTCCCTCTCATCCAGGAGGCTTCTTCAGTTCTTCTTCATGAACTGGAGAACTGAAGAAGCCTCCTGGATGAGAGGGGAAACATCTTCAAGAAACTTAACCAAGTCCAGTTGCCTTTGATATATAACACTTATGACACCAAGTATTGATTTAAAATTATTTTATTGCTTCCATTCAGTGTCTTTGATCAGAACTGGATCCAGAGCAATGGTCTGTTATTCACAGCAGCAGTCTGCTATTCAGAAATAACAGACCATAGATTGATTAACCAATAGGAATCGAGTATTAAACACTGCTGTGTAAAAATAAGGTCTAAAAGTCAGAATATCTTGGCCTCTGCAGATTCAAAAGATTGTTGAAAACCCTCCAAATGTTTGGAAGTACAATACCTTATCAACAGAGTACCCCTTTACTGCCGTAGTAGACCAAAATGCAGTAACGAGACACGTATTATATTTTAAATGAAAGGTGCCATAAGGTAAATTTATGTTCAACGAATCTCACAGAAACACATTTTGTGTGTCCTTGAGGTCTAACAAATGTGTTGAGTGCATTTCTTTCCTCATAAAACATTTGCCGAGCCAATTATTTAAATATTTGAATCATTTAAATTGTTTATTAGCTTTCAGGCTTCTTTTTTTACTGCCTTTGTTGGCGCATTTGTACGTTTCTTGGCGTAATGTCAGCAGAATTGCATCAAACCACCACCTGTGCATCCTCCCGTTTGCACAAGCTTCCTTGTGCACATGTATGATACAAACAAAACAGGGACCCATGAATAGCAGCTTTGCTCCAAAGCACAACTAGTGTTCAAAAACTCCACAGGTTGCCTTTAGGTAGACAGTTAACACTTTGTGGAATGAAAATCTGTCCCTCTCATGCTGTTACAGTGATATAGCTATTCAGTTTGTCAATCAAACTCTTCGCTTAGTGTTCCTAATCCATGAGTTTCGCATATAATCTCAAAATCCATCCCGGGAAATGTTTATTATCTGCAACTGTCAACCGGACGTGTCCAGCGGTCTGAGACGCGTGCTGTGTGACAGCAACATCCCCAGTTCAAATCCAGCTTTTGTTGTAGGTCACTTCCTCTGTCTTTCTCATTGTTTCCTGTCGCACTCGGCTGTGCCATCCCATCAAGGCAAAACACCAAAAAAAAGAAATGCATCAGTTTCTGAATTAGAGGCTGGCTGAGAGGAAATGGGTACAACAGGAAGAATAAATTCCAGCATTTGGTGACAAAGGAACTCCAGGAATGTTTTAAAAATCACAAACTGATGATGTATAAAAAGAAATATCTGAGGGGGGGGTCTCTTTAATATTTTTGTTTGGACATAAATTGACTCCAGTATTGACTAAATTTTTGTGCTGCAACCACAACAATTCCATATTTAGAGCACAAACGCTACGATTTACAGCTGTTGATGTTGATATGATTATGTGTCTCCTCAGAAGCCGCAGGAGAGGAATGCACTGCTGATGAAAAGCAAGACCTTGTCTCTCCCACAGAGTGAGTCAGAAAACATTGCGTGTCCCCCCTCCCACCATGTCCTCCCTTGGTCTTTGATTAAGTTTTTACCTGTCCTCCCTTGTTTCTCCTGTAGTAGATTAAGAAAGCTGTTGCTTCTCTTCCCCCGTTCTCCCCTCTTCCTTGTTGTTCTTTCCCTGGTAAAAGTTAAACTTTAATCTGTCTCAGTGGGAGATCTGGCCTGGATTGTGTTTATGTGTGTGTGTGTTTGTGCATGCGTACAGAGTCTGAGTGTTTCTCTTCCACTGGCAGGGTCATTTTATTCCTTAACGTGAAGTTCTGTTTCTTTACTGAGTGATTGATGTTTCACAAAGGTGTCAAGGCCAAAAATATCAGCTTCAATTACTACAGCATATTGTCATAACTTTGGACTGAATGCCCAGTTAAACAATGAAAGATAGTGAATGCAGACCTCCTCACAGCTTTATTATTTGGTTATTGTAGTATATAGATATTAACAAAGCATGCTGACATCTGAGGTATTTATTTGTAGAATGTGAAAGCCTCCAATGTGTGACTGATTTCTCTTCCTGCTCCCTGTCCTGGTTTATCCTCTAGACTCTGGGAAAGACAACTCTCCAGCCTCCATTTTCTCCTCTTCTTCTTCACTTCCCACAACAACCAGAGAGAAGAGAGAAACAACTGCCCCTCTCTCCAAAAGCCTTTCTATCTCTATAGACAACAGGTAGGATGGCAGTGTTAGCACTATATATATATCAAAACATCCATTCCAAAACGTATTAATTAAAGGGATTGTTCAGATTTTTGGAAGTGAAGTGGGGTTGTATGAGGGGAGGGGTCAGCAGCAAAATTGATTTTAGCCACCTATAAAAGTCCCACTGACAAAAATTAATAACAGTTTAAGTTCTTTTATGCTCAGGCTACATGTTTATTGACGTTGCTTACCATCTGTGAGGGACAACTCTCCTACATCTGTGGACAGCGGAGGACCCACTACAGTCCCTGACAAAAGTCTTGTCGCTTATCCAAGTTGTAGGAACAACAAATAATAACTTGACTTGTAGTTGATCAGTTGGAATCAGAAATGGCTTATATGAAAGGCAAAGGCCTCTAGATTATGCTTATTATACCAAAATAAAGTTGTGCATCATTCACTGAATTTTATCATTTAATTAGGACAGAAAGGTCAGATCTTGCTTGGACAAAAGTCTTGTCGCATACAAAAATAATGTACTGTAGAAATGATACTTTATTTTGAATACACAAACATGCTCCAATAACATCAGAACATAAAGTCATGGTGCCTTGGGAAAAAGAATTAATATCGTGTATGACTCCCATGAGCTTGGAGGACTGCATCCATACGTCTCGGCAATGACTCAAATAACTTATTGATGAAGTCATCTGGAATGGCAAAGAAAGCAGTCTTGCAGGACTCCCAGAGTTCATCAAGATTCTTTGGTTTCACTTCCAAGCCTCCTCCTTCATCTTACCCCAGACATGCTCAATAATGTTCATGTCTGGTGATTGGGCTGGCCAATCCTGGAGCACCTTGACCTTCTTCACTTTCAGGAACTTTGATGTGGAGGCTGAAGTATGAGAAGGAGCACCATCCTGCTGAAGAATTTGCCCTCTCTTGTGGTTTGGAATGTAATGGGCAGCGAGAACCTCTTGATACTTCAGGCTGTTGATGTTGCCATCCACTCTGCAGGTCTCTCGCACACCCTCATACTGGATGTAACCCCAAACCATGATTTTTCCTCCACCAAACTTGACTGTTTTCTGGGTGAATCTTGGGTCCATGCGGGTTCCAACAGGTCTTCTGCAGTATTTGCGGCGATTGGGATGCAGTTCAATGGATGATTCATCAGAAAAATCAACCTTCTGCCACTTTTCCACTGTCCATCCTTTCTGCAAGCTGTGGGCCTTGGCAAATGCAGCACGATTCTTTTGTTGTCTTCTGTTTAATGCTGGTTTGTGAGCAGTAATTCGGCCATGGAGACCATTGTGTGAGAGAATTCGACAAACTGTTCTGGTAGATACAGGGGTTTCTGGTGACCAGTTCTGATGTAGCTCTGCTGCAGTTGAAAAAGGGCTGGCCCTGGACTGCCGAAGCAACAAACGGTCCTCTCTAACAGTTGTGTTACGGGGTCTGCCTGACCTGGGCTTGTCATGAACGTCACCAGTTTCTTCAAATCTTTTTTTTATCCTCTCCACTTGACGTTTGGATACACTGAAGATGTCTGCCATCTCAGCAGCAGACTTGGTCTTCAGGCTCTTGATGATCAGCACTTTGGTCTGTGGTTGAATCTTTGGCATGTTGTCAGCGGTCAGGTTGCACTTCACATGAAGGTCTGGTGTGCTGGGGTTCTTTTTATACACACCTGGGAATGTGTTAATTACAGTATTTGTCACAGGTGGAGCTCTAATCTGTGATTGGTTGAATCATTTAAAGACACGACAAGACTTTTGTCCAAGCAAGATCTGACCTTTCTGTCCTAATTAAATGATAAAACTCAATGAATGATACACAACTTTATTTTGGTATAATAAGCATAATCTAAAGGCCTTTGCCTTTCATATAAGCTATTTCTGATCCCAATTGATCAACTACAAGTCAGGTTATTATTTGTTGTTCCTACAACTAGGATAAGCGACAAGACTTTTGTCAGGGACTGTAGGTCTCCTTCGTCTAGGGACAGGGCATGCAGCACATCTGCGTCTGCATGGCAAAAGATTAATTTAGATTTATTCAGAACTTTTATTTTAAGTTATTTTATCTGATTTTATTTTATCTGGTTTTGTTTTATTTTATTTTATCTGGTTTTATTTTATTTTATTTTACCCAACACTCTCTGAAAAGTACAGACTGTCTTTGTATCAGTTTATGTTACTTTGTATTATTATGCAATTTTTATTTTCATTCTTATTCTTCTTACAGAACTTTTATTTTATTTTATTTTATTTTATTGTAAGTGTATATTTTGAGTGCTATATTGAGAATATTTTTACCACTTTACCTTGCCACAGACAGCCCTTTCTGGCGGGGAAGTTCCCCATCTATGCTCTCGTCAAAGCCACAAAAATCCATTGACAAAAATAGTAATTTTACCTCACTGAACACGGGAGCTGCTGGTGTGCTACTGTCTTGATCAATTAGTTAGTTTGTGTCATTGTGTGACTTTGGTGAATCCAAACTAACCCATGTGAATGGCACAGTCACACAATTACGCAAACAGCCATACTGATCAAGGTAGCTATAGACCAGCAGCTCATGTGTCCAGCGATGTTAAATTATTGTTTTTTCTTAATGGAGTCTGGCCTTGAAGAGAGCTGGCTTCAGTTTCCAATTGTAAATCACTGTCTGTCACCAAGGTGAAAATATTCTAAACATACAGTGTACACTTAACCCGCTACTGATTTTTTCAAGATGGTTTGAATACGTTTTTCTGCTGCCCCCGTCCACAGCAGTACATTTCTTAGCTTTCGTGTCGGTACTCCTGCCTGCTTCTCCAATCTGGGGGTGTGCCAGTTGACATTGACTGTATTGAAGTACCTCAAACAACCCCACTTCAAACGATCTGAAGTATCCCTTTAATCTGGGTTTCAGTGAGCTTTTGTATCTTTAAATTCTAAAGAAGAAACTTAAGATCTTGAATACTGGCACAACATATCACTTCAGTCTCAGAATACTTGAATCAGTTTTAAAATGCAGACGTAAATAAAACCTTCTCTTGCAAACAGGCCGCCTTAATGCAAACACTCTGTCTTAAAAAAGTTCTAGCTAACTCATTTTGTTTCTGTGCAGACGTCTGAGTGATGCAGCAGGGGTGGACAGTGAGTGCAGCGTGACAGCTTGCACTAACAGCTCATTGTCTGATGAGGGAACACCGGTCACAGCGACTCCCCCGTCAGCTGAGCCGCCAATCACCACACAGGGTGAGGAGGACAAGCTTACATTATGATTTGTCCCACCCACACACACATAACACTGAGAATTATTGGAGAGTGGACTGTGATTTAGAGGAAAGATATTGTTTATTATTTCTGTGGCCACAGATGCTGTTGATGCTGCTCTGATGAGCGACCTGTCGGCTGACCAGCTGGGGCTTGAGGTGGAGTCATGGAGTCTGGCGGTCAGTGCGGAGTTTTGCAGGCAACTCGACAGGAACACCATTAAACGACAGGATGTTATTTATGGTGAGACCGTTCTCCTTAGTACAGTATTTTATATAAGCATTAGGCAGTATGCATACTGTATCTGTCGTAGATCTTATTTGCTGAGTCAAATCTCAGTGGGTAGAACCCAAGAATCACAGCAGGGGCGAGTCTGGGCTTGATTTGGACGTAATATAAATAACTTAAAAAGCTTTGCTCACTGGCAGACACAATGGTGTTAACACTGTGCACACTGCCAAGTTGGAAGTACACACAACTTCATATTTATTACACAAACGTCCTTTTTTTGGAGGAATGTGTTGAAATGAGTTACTGCGGCAGCTATGTAGCCATTTTTACTCCTCGCTGCTCCACTTGGATTCAGCTAAACATTAGTTTGCCAGAGTAATCCCATGCTCCACAGAGGTTTACTTCAATCAGCAAGATCATGTTACTGAGAAACCTTTGCCCAACTCAGCATCTCATCTGCACTTGTAAGCATGCACATTTATTTCAGTGCCCATAATCGACTCTCATTGCCCCCATACAGAGCTGATGCAGACAGAGCTGCACCACATCCAAACGCTGACAGTCATGTCGGAGGTGTTCAGGAGAGGCATGCTGGAGGAGCTGCAGCTGGACTGGGACTGCGTGGCCCGGATCTTCCCCTGCTTGGACCCCCTGCTGCTCTTTCACAGAAACCTCTTTGGAGCACTGCAGGAACGCCGACAGGCTTCAGCCCAACCTGAGAACCCCCGAAATTACCTCATCCATCAGATTGGAGATATTCTGCTTGAGCAGGTTGGTGAAGATGGACTTATGCACATAAACACACAAGGATACATGTCTTTAGTCAACCTCTTATGGCCTCTTTCTTAGTTCTCAGATGAACACGCTGAGAAGATGAAGGAGGTGTATGGAGAGTTCTGCAGCCATCACACCGAGGCCGTCAATGTCTTCAAAGAGCTGCAGCAACAAAACAAAAAACTCCAAAACTTTGTCAGAGTAAGCTCCTGCTTCCAGACCTCTTTTGCTTCTTAAATAATGGATTTACAGTAAACTGTCATGATTGAACAGGTACTCATTTTGGTGTTAACCTCTTTACTCGCAGCAACAGAGCAATAACACTCTGGTCAGACGGAGAGGGGTGCCAGAGTTTATCCTGCTGGTGACTCAGCGCATCACCAAGTACCCAGTGCTGCTGGAGAGGATATTACACTACACTCAGGGTATGTCGGCTCTACTTTGTCATAAAGCCATAAACATATGCAACTCATAAGTCTGTTTAATATTCTGTGGAAGCATCAACACAAAGTCATGGGGCGTTTTTATGTTTACACATAGCAAAATGTTTTAAAGTTTACTAAGATGATCCAAGTATTTGCTGCAACACTGCATGTTTCTATTACATGAAAAGTACCACTACGCAACTAGATACTTTATTAGCTACAAATAAAGAGGTTATTTTCTGTGTTCATCATCAAAGTGTCATAAGTAACTTGAATATTTCAGTGTTGGATGACGTTGGTATTTTTAATAGCCTGCTTGAGAATATTACCTGTGCTTTGTGTGGAATTTATAAATAGCCTTTTTATTTTTACTTTGACTGCTCTCTTATTGAAAATGAGAAGAAAGAGTTTTGCAGTGGCTAAAGTATTATTTTAAGTCCAGATGAAACACATTTTGAGAGCATCAAGCTTCAGTATTGTGATATATTTCTGGATAAAACAGGATAGGCAGGTGGGATATAATATTAGGAGGAATTTGATTTGGTCGTTGAAAAGTGGGTGTGTCATAACAAGTGAGGCCCACGGTGTACTCCGACAGGATAGTAGTATCCATCAGGGGGAGAGATGAAGCCCAGGGTTGTAGTCCACTATAAATGCCTTATGCACAATCTGGCGCTGTCACAGGTACCAAAGTGAATACATTCTAGCCCACAGCTCATATCCACAGTATTTGTGGAAATTAAGACACAGACACATGCTGTTTCTAGCTAGCTAACGTAATCTTAGCTTTTCGTGGCTTAAAGTTTCAGACTGATTGATGGATGGATGTTATTGGTTGAAATTGGTTGGTACCAGCTTACGTTAGCACACACCATATTTTGTTTTACGGGAAGAAAACAGGATTCGAAATTGATATATTTGGCACATATTGATAAATAGGTACACAACATGACTTGCAATGTGATCTAAAAGGGTTTAAAACTAATTTTTCATTTCATTTCACCTTTAATGTGACCTCTCTGTTACCTCCTTCCCCCCACAGAGGGAAGTCAGGAACACTCTGACCTATCGAGCGCCCTGGCTCAGATCCGTGACATCATCGCTGCAGTTGACCTGACTGTGAACAAGTATGAGAGGTGTCAGGAGCTGCAGGAAGTTCTGGCCCGGCTGGAGAACAAGAGTTTCGCCAAGCTGAAGAATGGCAAGGAGTTTCGCAAACAGGACCTGCATAGCAAACACAGGGATCTGCAGTATAAAGGGCTGGTCTACTGGAAGACCGCCACAGGACGTCTGAAAGGTTTGTATAAGATCATCTGTGTCGCACAATCCTTGACTTTAAGAGACAATCAATCTACATGAATTTCTGCTATTGTGTTTTCAGATACTTTGGCTCTCCTGCTCACAGACGTTCTGGTTTTCCTACAAGAGAAAGATCAACGCTTTGTGTTTGCTGCTGTGGTAAGCCTCAACCTGAAGAATACTTTGAATTCAAAGACACCTTGTTCAGCTCTCCATCCTTTAACCCATCTTTATGGGTTTTGTCTCCTTTCAGGACCAGAAGCCTCCTGTAATCCCTCTACAGAAGCTCATTGTTAGAGAAGTAGCCAATGAGGAGAGGGGGATGTTCCTCATCTCCGCCTCCTCAGTGGGACCAGAGATGTATGAAGTTCACACCACCACCAGAGATGAGAGGAATGCATGGATGAGACACATACGACAAGCTGTGGAGAGGTATATGTGTCAAGTCAAGTATACAGTGTTTGTTTGTGCAGGTGTGCAAATGTCAGGGCTTCTACTTAGATTCCGGTGCATGTGTGTGTGCCAGGTTAATGTGTGTGAGTGGTTTTGTAACTCATTCCCTAACCTACTGGTCTACCTGGCAGTTGTCCTGAGGAAGAGGAGGAGGAGGAGCGAAGTGCTGAGACAGAGGAGGCCAGGCGAGTGGCGGAAGTGAGAGTTCAGAAGATCACCAAGTTCCAAGGTGAGAACACATTTGTCTCCATATTCATGAACACTGTGAACATACAATATCTGTTTGAGTGAATGGTGTATATAGATTTTATATTATTTATTTTAATTTTAATTGGACTCTTGGGCTGCTATAACATTTGAATTTACCTGGTGTTGGGTTATTAAAGTCTTATCTTACCTTATATCCATATTTTATCTGTTACCTATCCTTCTTTGTGAAACATCACATGCTGCTCTGGTAGGACCATAAACTCAGCTATCCTAATCTCAGTGTTTGTTGTGTTTAGAGACACTGTTGGGTCAGGACCAGCGAATCTGCAACAGCCTGGAGGAGAAGTTACAGCTTTATGCTGAGCTCACAGAGTTAACCCTCCACTCACCAGAACCTGTACCACATCGCCATCTGCTGGTGCAACCTGACACAGACAATGAGCCACCACGACAGGCCTCCTCACTGCTGACAGCTGCACTAAGAGAGGGTAAGAAAGCTCCTGTGTGGGCTCCGTAATGCTGCGGTCATGCTGTTGGAGGACGCATTTCACAAGCCTAATTATTATGAAGAGTGACTAACCTACATTAAAAATGAACATGAATGCACCATCTGACACTTTCAAGAGCATATCCACGCCTATTTTAAAATACAAGTCTTTTTGGTGGGAGCAAATGTATTTTGGTGTACAGCCTAGATAATATCCATATGTGGGGAAACACCATATAAAACACTTAAAGGTATACTATGCAGGAATTGTCAGCTACTATTTGTAAACAGTATTGCCAATGAAAGTAAAAGCCAACACCAAATTTATTCTCTTTTTGGAGCTATTTTCGTCAGCTTGGCATTTTTGCCTCAGTATATTCCATACTATATTAAATACAGACAGAGGGCAGAATCTAGTGGGTCATTAGGGATGACTGGGAAGGGATCACTTTTGTATGAGTCTATATATTAGAAAAAGAGACGACTGGTTGCGCTGTGTATACAAATGTAGATCAAAACCTTGTGTCGGGTGCTCCTCATGTGATGGCCTCCAATTGGTTCCTGCCACTATATAATTGGGGCCATACCTGTGTTGAATGTTTTAAAAGCCCTGACGAAGACCTGCAGTGGTCGAAACATGTTGGCTCTTTTAATGATTTAGCCACGGGTAGAAAAAGATTTTCGCACACTTACATCTATCCAGTGTCTCACTTTATTGCTGAGCTTTCAGTCTATTCAACCGTCATCAGAGCATACCTGATGAAGGTTGAATAGACCAAAAGCTTAGCAATAAAGCGAGACATTGCATAGATGTAAGTGTGCGGAAATCTTTTTCTACCAATCTGGACTCATTGATGTTTTCAGCACCTTGCTGAGACTGAGCCGGGTGGAGCGGTAGCTACTCTGCAATGATTTAGCCACTACAAGTGTGCCTGGAGTGCCTTTCTGAGTCTATATATTGTTTTTTAGGATATTTCTGCATAGTATACGTTTAACAATATAGCATTTTATACACAGTGCTGACCCTTTGCTGAAAAAGAGGCTCTAAGCAAGATTCTTCAATCAATCAAACCAATGTTTATTCAGGGAAAATTGACTGAGCATTAAGCTCTTGTACAGCAATGCCCTGAGTTCACATTCAATGGGCTAGAAAGATACAAGCATATAATAGTAATCACAGTAAAGTGATAAAAAAAGACCATAAAAACAAATAAGTAGCAGCAACGTCGATCAAGAATTATGAACAGCAATAAAAAACAGTACAAAGAAAAAAAGTTGAATAATAAGAGAAGAGTCTGCCACAAAGGACAGATACATAACAATAGTATAATGTATCATATCATGTCTGTCAACTAACCAAAGCAGGAACACTGTTAAACAACCACATCATCTAGCATACACTTGAAATGATCTAACAACACATACCTGTCTAATCTAAATAAGAGGGAGCATTTTTTTTTTTTTTTTGAACACTTGCATACGTATATTTTATTTATCTTAAACAAACTGCATTAATGTCTAAAAACCACTGCTACATAGCCATACGACACCAACACTGGTGTTTTTATTTACTTAATTTAGCTGATTCAACCTCTTCTCAGGACTGTGTTCTCATGTGAAGACCATGCAACATTTCTCTCAGTGTCCCTTTGACATGTCATGGCAGAAAAGGCTATAATAAGAAACATCAATAATGGCTACATCTCATTTAGTTTTGCAATTTACAGGCCCATGTTCACGTGAAGAACACTAATTGTGTGTAGCTTCCCAAGACACTTAAATGAAATATTGCAGTCATGAGTAATGGTTAGTTTCTTCAGGCAAGTCAACTTGCACCGTTATCTTTATCTGTATACTGAGTTTGCTGATATCATATAATTCCTCTCATATCTCAGTCCAACCTGAACTCTAATCAGTGAGAAGAGATAACTCATGCTGGGGTGTGTAGGGCTTTTTATCTACCAAGATCAGTATAGCATTGCAATAAACAGATAATAAACTTTTGATTATTTTTAGGATTGTGTATTAGACTTACAAACTTCAGAAAATTACTTTGCAAATATTAATTTGGAAGACAGTCTACATGTAAGTTTGTAAGAAAGAACATAAAAGTACAACTGAATGACTTAGAAAAGTGATGCAGTGTGCTGTAGGTTTATTAGTTGTCATTATTGACATTTTGAAACCAGACTTCAAAGAATAATCCTGAGTTTTGCGTCTTCTGCAGCAGAGAACCTGATCACCATCCTGCAGGCTCGTGATGGTCCTACTGTAAAAAGTCAGAGCTCTCCGGTCCAAGGACCAGAGTGCTGCAGCTACAACAGCCACGGCAGCAGCATTCAGGAGTCTCCCTCTGAGCGTGAGTCATGGATTTTTACTGTAATGCCTTCAGTTGACATGGCTGCCAACATATGCTACTTGACCTCTCCCGATGTGGGTGAACCATGTTGCCTAATATTTGCAGGCAGAGACATTTACTTCTTCTTTTCTTGCTACAGCGGATTATCTTAGCACGCTCAGTATGAGCTCCACCTCTCTTGGGTCAGACAATGAACTGACGGGAATGGACAGCGTGCTGTGGAGCTCTGCTGTTGAGCTCAGGAGAGGAGACACCAAAGGGACACTGTTAAAGGTTCAAGCACTGTAGTTCCCCATAAGCAAAGTTTGTTACTAAAATAAATTGTTCACACGTATTAACACAGTTTTCTGTAGGTGGCGGAGAGGGTTCAGAGCCTGACTCAGCTTCTCTACAGTCTGCAGGTGAGAAAAGACACAAGACACAGCATCTGCATGAGTGAATATTTGGCTTTGTGAGAGGGCAGGATTAGTAACAGGAGAGTGATTAAGTGTCTCCACCCTGTGTTGGCAGGCAGCAGTGACCCTCCAGGACAGCTGCTATGAAGTCCAGAAACTCCTTCTGCAGGAAGGAGAAAGACCTCAGCTCCGACCTCTCACTTCCCTCCCCAACAGTCTGGTATGAGTCACGTGATATTCACTGAAGCAAAGTCTCAGAAACTGACTCACTATAGACATAACATTTTCTGGTTCTCCAAATTGAATTACCACAGACATCCGGTCAAGGATGAGGCATTAAGTTGTTTCTAGGCAATGTATCATCACTGCACTCCAATTTTCCACTTGTTGTTTTGTGTATGGTTCTGCACAAAGGAAAAGATAAGTAAACTAAAACTCAAACATAATCAGCCTTAAGTAAATAAACCCTAATAATGAACAAATCTTCACAATGCATATTCACTTTTTCACTTTAACATATATGACTTGACTAACACATGGGAAATATGAAATACTAAACATTGCAGCCAAACAGATAATAAACCTCCCCTGCTCATCAACTTCCCAACCTTAGTCCCAAAAATGCTCCAACCTGATTGGTAGTCACTGATAGACCCTTATTAGTCTGACACAAGCCACAGAGTGCGAATCTCAACAGATATATTTAGGCCTTTTCCACATTCATGTTTGAATAAATAATTTATCCCACACCAGAGTCTCGGTGTTTTACTAACTTAGACTTGAATTCAGTTTTCTCTTTTTCAAATAATGACAGAAAACATTAAACCTGTTTCTGTTGTTATGCAGGAGCAGGACAAGCAGAGGAGTACTGATAAGAAGAAAGAGGAAGTAGAAAAGAAGGGTTTAGAGAGGAAGAAAGAAGAGGTGGATGAGGTGCAGAAACTCCATGTGAGGCTGAAACAGGAGCAGCAGCGCTGGGACAAAGAGTGTTTGGCCAGAGAGAAACATCAGGTACACCTCATGCTGATGTTACGTTGCATGTACACTCAGTTGTCTCACTTCATTTGGTTTTTCTGTCTGTCTGTGTTGTTCATTAAACAAAAAAAATGTGGTTATGCACACTGAGGACTTACCCATGTCTTTGATCTGTTCCGGTTTCTGAATCAATCAAAGACACCACCAGTTGATAGACTGCACCTTAGACTATATAATGAAATTAATGAAACAGTCAGATTTTAATTAGATTTCACCAACATCATGAGTGAAGGCAGAGCATGAGTTTTGCTTCTTCTGCAGCAAATAACCTGGTCACCATTCTTCATACTGCTTGACCTTTGTCTGTGGGTGAACCATATCACCTAGTATATGCAGAACATGACAGTTACTTGTTCTTTTCTTGCTGTGACCTATGAATTCACCTCTGCTTGATCAGATAATTTTAGATAGTAGTTCATCTGTACGTGATGTGCTGTGCTGTTCAGATGCTGTTTTGTTGTGAAATGTTGTAATTTCCTTTTTCCTTTACACGCAGCAGGGAGTGTCTGCCTGTACATAAGGCTTTCTGGCTAACTGGTTGCTAAACATTTGCAACATACAGTTAATGCACATTGAATTTCTTACTTAATGTGCAGCATGTGGCAGCAATGCATTCTTGTCTGTCAGGATTATTGTTGCCTTAACCCACATTTTAAAAATGTAATGAAACTCCGCTAATGCGTTTCAAAAACGTCAGAACAGCTCGTCCGTCATAATCCAAGTACCCTGAAGCAGCGGCATGCAAAATTGACTTGAAAAGACATAATTTACTCCACTTTTATAGCATAATTTCTCACCGTGGTCAGTTAGCCTCCCCTGCAGCCCTGGTGCTAGTTCTCGAGTCTCGTGCAAGTTGCCATGTAAACACAGCAAGCCTGCAGGGCAGGCTAACTGACCACAGTAAGAAATTATGCTATTAAAGCTGTTATCCTCCGATACCCCGAACGAGTTTTGTGGATTAAAAAAACTACACTGGACGTCTTGTCGGCATAAGGGTCAGTAAGTACTGTCTGTATTTTCATTCTAAAGTGGCCATTTCCTTAAAATGCCCAACTTAACAGAGAAATAAACATGGTTACAAACTGGTACAAATAAGTATATGTCACCCATTTAAGTTTTATTAAGGATTAAAGATAACCCAAGCTCTACCCACTTGTCCAAATATGGTTACCTTGGGTCACTTCTGGCTCCAAAAATCCAAGATGGCAACCACCAAAATGCCAAACTCAAGTCTTCGAAGTGGGATTCCACAAACCAGTGGGTGAAAATCACAGTGGCCACGTCCATTATTTTTATATAGTCTATGATTTGCACTTGCTCTGACTGTGAGTGGGCAACCCTATGGTATGATTTTTTTTTTTTTTTTTTTTTTTTTGTAGATTACCAGAACATTTTCTGCTATCAAGCTCAGTTTATGTCATTACTGTTAGTGCTTTTGCTTGTGCTTAAATGCAGGAATGAGAAAAATACACTAACAAACTGCAAATTGACCCAGAAATAAGGAACAAACTGCTATAAGATGTTGTAATTTTGGTTGGGTTACCCTTTAACCCTGCACATCTAATGCCCAGTTTGCATGTAAAGTTGCAGTGATTGTACTGTAACTCTACTATAACCACAGGAAAAGAGATAACCAGTTTCTGAACTTTCTGATGTGACTGTGCCCCCATGTATTTCCAGTGTGAGCAGGAGACTGTGCTGGAGCAGCGAGAGCAGCAGTGCCTCCTAGAGGCGGAGCGTCTGCGCTGTGAGCGGGAGGAGCTGGAGGCTCAGCTGCTGGAGTATCAGCAAAATCTGGATAGACTGAGGGAGGGCCAGAGGAGTGTGGAGAGGGAGAAGGAGAAGATCGAAGCCCAGCAGAGGCTACTGCAGGGCTGGAGACACAACCGCCAGAGCAGCCTGCCTGTTACGATACCACTGGATGGATACAAGGTAAGAAAGAGGGGTTAAAGGAGAGACAGGAAGGTAAAGAGAGAGAGGAGGAATGAGTGGTGTGTTTCTCAGGATCAAAAATAGAAAACAAACACTGCTAAACAAACCATGTAACCTCTGCTTTCTGGTGTTGTTTGAATGCCCCAGGTGTCCAGCCACAGCCGCTCAGGTAGTCTGGATGGTAACTGCTCAGTGTACGAGAACGAGGCGGCTTTGCTTGCTTCCTTGCAACAGAACCACCTCCACCAGCCCGCTACCAACAACCAGCACCAGCATCTGCTCTCTGCGCCGAGGAAGAACCATGACGGTCCCCTGAGCAGCTCCAGCTACACCGCTAACCTCGGCCTCAGTGCCAGCCTCTACAACAGCCTCAACACCCTGCTGAGCCAGGCACACGGCAAACAGCCTCCGGATGGTCTGACGTACCCAAATTTCAGCAACAACCACAGCTGCCCCCGGCCTCTGAATGACTCCATCCACCCCTTCAGCAGCAGGGTGGCTACACAGTCACAAAGAACAAACAACAGTAAGTCTACTCATAGTGTTTAATGATTGGCTGTATATGTTTTAGCATAGGGTGTCAGTGGACATGTATCAGTAGTATAGGGCACAAGGTTTTAGGAGAACATCATTCATTCATTCATTCATTCATTCATTCATTCATTCATTTTCAGTAACAGCTGTTAGGGGTTGCGGGGGGCTTGAGCCTATTCCAGCTTACATTGGTCAAGAGGCGGGGTGCACCCTGGACAGGTCACCAGACTGTCACAGGCCTGACACATAGAGACATTCACACCTACGGCCAATTTAGAGTCACCAATTAACCTGCATGTCTTTGGACTGTGGGAGGAAGCCGTAGTACCCGCAGAAAACCCATGATAACATAAGGAGAACTCCACACAGAAGGGCTCCCCCACCCTGGAGTTTGAACCAGGAACCGTCTTGCTGTGTGGCGACAACGCTAACTGTGTCACCACCATTATCCTGTATTGTGCACATATGTCAAAAGGTGATTTTTATAAAAGCAACCGACTGTAGTTTTAAGCGTTTCTGTTCTCTTTCCAGCAGACTTCAGCCCGCAGTTGGGCAGGCGACCCCTGGGTCCCTGGAAGTCAGAAGCCACAGGTCACGGACTTTATGAGGACAGCTACTCCTCCTCTCCCTCTCTGACCCCCCTCCTCCCCCCGCAGGCCTACCTCTCTCTTGAAGGACAGAATGGAGAGGAGGGAGGAGAGGAGAACATTGTTTACCTCTGATAATCATTAGAGAGAAACGAGCAATGCAAGCTGCCCGACACATAACTGGACTGACAGTATATCTGTTGCTTATATGTGTTTGTGTATATGTGTGTTTTCATTTTGAACAACCTGAATGATCCAGTAAGGGAACAGCTGCAGGGAAGAAGCATACACAGATATATGTGCCTTTATCAGTGTATGTGGCGGCCATTAATCATCCTCTTCCTGCGTCGTAAAACCATTGTGCCTTTTTGCGAACAAGTTCTTTGTAAATCAGCTTTGATACTTGTACCCCGTGTTTTTACTTCTACTATGATTCTTTTTAGTATCTGTTGCACTTGTTTGATGGCAGAGGTACATTTGCACCTCAAAACACTGGGACCTAAAGTACCAGGATATCAGGACAGAAGTATTGATGTTATTTTCCCATGAGCACTTAAAAGAAAATGGAAATATATGAGAAGCCAATTGAGCCCCTCCCCCAATCTATATATAGAGTGCTTTTATTTCTCCATGTGATCTTTAATAGTATTTATAAGGGATTGTGAGCATCTAAAATACGTAAAAATATACTGACATAATTGTATAAATATTAAATATATGTATAGTTTTATGGAAAGGCTACCTATGCACACTGTGTTGGAAGAGGAACTTGTATTCCTGTTATTATTTTTTCTCACTTAAGTGCCAAAAATCTTGCTATCTGATACTGTAAGTGATTTCTGTAAAGAACAGCTGTATGTTTTCTGTTCATCTCCTTTTCTGATAATTTATTGTGTGTAAATTGCTTCATGCACTGTCAACATTAATAATATTTTTTTTGTTTATGTCTTGTAATCTCTGTAATCAGAATTGTGTTGTGCCATATTAATATTGTGCTGCCTATAAAACTGTTGTGGCAAAAATCTGTGCTTTAAGTGTGTGTTTGCCTCGCGTTAATCAAAACATGGAAACATCAGTTGACATTTTCACACCTCTCATTGGTTCTGACGTTACATCGTTACGCAATACTATTACAGTAATCGTAGGCAGGCCATCTTAACTATTGACTCGTGGGACTTTCAGTTAGGGTGTGCAGTGACTGGTCAGCATTTCACTCTAGTTTTGCTTTGCTCATTTCTGTATGAAGAAGATGATAACTTTCAGATTATCCATGGTTAACCTGCTTGGGTTGTACCTAATATTTTCTAAGGATCACACTGGATGCTGCTTGGAAACTGGTGAGTTTGTTTTATTTAAATTCTCTCATCTCCCTTCTTAAAATATGTCCTGTAACTCTGCATATATTGTGTGTCAGTTTGGCAGCTGCCAAGCCCGAGCATAACTCATCTGCAGAATATCAGTAAGAAGCAAAGCCTCGTGGTGAGCTGGCTGGTAAACCACAGCAGCTTAGTGGGAGACTTTTATGAGATCCAGATCGGACGCACTGAAAACCACACCGTTATTTACAACGTGAGTACCAGAGGATTTTTTGTCTGGGTTTCGTGCTCATTAAAAGCTCCATGTAGCTGCATCCCAGTAATTTTATGGCATTATGCTGGTTTTAACAGCATTTACTGTGGTGATATTATGCTACTGTGAGTGACATTTTGCTCCCTGTTTTTGTTATTCTAGAGAAATCTGAGTTTATCTCCTGTGGATTCAGATAAACACACATTCACATGGACCTCTGATGTGCCTCTGGAGTGTGTCGATCACTCAGTCAGGATACGACTTTTCTATAATCAGTCTGTCTCAAGTCCCTGGAGCAGCTGGAAAACTCACTATGGTGAGATGATGCTACTCTCTTCCTGTCAGTGCACATAAATAAAATGAAACCAAATACATGGAAAACAGGCCAGTGACTTGTGTGCTCTCGGTTTCACTGATAAGACCAGGCCATCAAATAAGTGATAGTTTCTGTTGTCTCTGTATGAGTGGGCCCCATCCTTTTTCTCTTCCTTTCCACCTATCTTTTTATCAGTGTTTCTCAACTGCTGCAGACACTGCAAATGTCTGTTGCAATGCACATCTTGCTCGGAGCCTGGCCATTATAAACCTGGATGGGTGTAAACTTGGATGTTGGCATTATCCCTTTTGTTTTGTTTTTCAGTCATCATACATTCATACATGATGTTTTTCACTTGTCTAGAATTGTCTGGAATCTTCAACTGGAGGGCGATGAGAGTTAAGCGGAGTCAGATAGATATGAAACTTTGAATAACCATCATTAATAAATGGTGTGTACAGAACAGACCAACATTATTTTATTTTTTTATTTAGACGTTTATTGATCCGGGACAAATGCATTAAATATTATTTCATATAAAATACAAAACAGATGTCATGCATACAAGTTTCTAGCTGAAGCTAATTCGCAACCCCTGTCCCTGGTTAGGCTTTGGCTATTAAAACAGAGTTTGTGTGCAAAGTTAAAAACAGTACAGAAACATTAATATACAAAACATATAGACAAAGACAGAATCAGGACATAAACAATAAGCAAAAACACAAAACAGTAAAGGGCAGTACACTAAATGAGTACAATAATATATAAAAGTCAATGTGCACAGGCTTGTTTCAGTTTCAGCCATTGTTTTACTTTTGTGTTAAAAGCCTTGAGCTCTGTCAATGTTTTTATTTCAGATGGTAATGTATTCCATAGTTTGGTACCTATTACTGAAAAGGATGACTGTCCGAATGTTGTCCTGCGTTTCGCTGTTCTACAATTACTGCTTGTTGTTGCTTGTCCCCAAACCGTTGTACAATATGATAAATGGGAAAATATCATGGCATGACTCTTTACATGGCGATCAAACTTCAATTGAGAATCTAAAATAACACCTAAAAATTTAAACTCATCTACTTGATCTATCTCTATCTCATTAATCTTTATTCCAGAATTTTCATTGGCTTTCCTCTTAATTGAGAAGCACACTGACACTGTTTTCTTATAATTCAAGGTTAAATGATTATTTTGAAGCCACTGTGACACACCAGACATTTCTTTTGACAGTAATTCTGCTGCTGTCTGGGGAGTTTTTGCAGACACATACAGGTGGAAACATGCTGCACCAGCACTGCTTCAGCTGGATCCAGCTGCGCACTCTGGTGGAGACAGCCCTTGGACAGTTCACCTCTTTGATCCTGTAGACCACACCCATCTGGGTGAAAAGTAGAATGACTGATAGGCTGTTGAAGCTCAGTAATCAGTGATTCCATTTGGAGCATATCCTTTAGTTCGCTCCCTCTGTTGTGATCATACCAAGCCGGTGTTGTTTGTGCTGTGTCCAGTTGCGCAATCTGACTGGAGGTTGAATTTAATGGACCAGGGTTCAACTGTATATCCCCACTTAGTAGCAGCAAAAACAAGTCAGGTGTTGTAAGCACGCCATTTGCTTCTCTTGGTGATTTGTTTGCTGTCTTTTCCATTATAATATTCTTTCTGCCAGAAGATGGTATAAACAACTAAATATCCATGCCCAAAATAAGTCAGTCATGGTGTGTTATTTAGAGGAGCAGAGAATCCACAAGAAGATGATTGATTACTTGCCAGACAAAGGCCTTGAACAGGTGGAGCAATCAGAAGCCACATGCAGAAGAAGCAGTGTCCAAACACATCCATTTTCTATGTACCTTTTGTTTGAGCCTTGACTTGGATTCAGGCATTTCTTTGGGTTAGAGCATTTTTGTTGAAAAACATTGGCTGAAGCTGACAGGAGACGGAGAAAAATTTTAAAAATAAGGAAAGGTGTGGAGCCTAATAAACCACACCAGTCCTCAGCAGCCATCTTGGTACCATCACCATTATAAAATTACAGTGAAGACAATTCATATGACTAAATTATACAGAGAGGGAGAGAGCTGCACAGCAAGAAAAACAACAGAAATATGACTAATAATAATAGTAGCATATGATAATGTGTTATATGTATATTTTAATATATAATAGTATGTAACAATAAGAATTATATGTCTATAATAATAGTAGAACTATCCATCCATCTATCCATCCATCCATTTTCAACTACTTATCCAAAGCTGGGTCGTGGGGGCAGCAGGGCAAGCAAAGCATTCCAGACATCCCTCTCCCCGGCAACACTTTCCAGCTCCTCCTGGGGGTCCCCAAGGTGTTCCCAGGCCAGATGATAATATGTAATCCCCCAGCATGTTCTGGGTCTGCCCCGGGGCCTCCTACCAGTGGGACATGCCCGGAACACCTCCAAAGAGAGGCGCCTTGGAGGTATCCTAGTCAGATGCCCAAACCACCTCAACTGACTCCTTTCAACACGAAGGAGCAGCGTCTCTACTCCAGGCTCCCTCTGGATGTCCGAGCTCCTTACCCTATCTCTAAGGCTGAGCTCAGCCACCCTTCTGAGGAAAATTATATCTGCTGCTTGAATCTGCAACCTCATTCTTTTGGTCATTACTCAGAGCTCATGACCATAGGTGAGGGTTGGGACGTAGATGGACCAGTAAATCAAAAGCTTTGCCTTCCGGCTCAGCTCCCTCTTCACCACGAAGGTCTGGCACAGCGCCCGCATCACTGTAGACACTGCGTCAAACTGCCAATCCATCTCACGCTCCATTGTAACCTTACTCATGAACAAGGCCCCAAGATACTTGAACTCCCTTGCTTGGGGCAGTAACTCAAGAAATATGACTCAAGAAATATGACTAATAGCAGCATTAGTAGACATCAGGCAGGACTACGGCAGCACCGCAACCACGATCTAGACACAACCTGGCGGACGAGAAAGCACAAAAGCTCTAGAAAAGAAGCAGAGTTAGTAGCATACATTAATGGGGGGGTGAATGTTTGCAAATGGAGAGAGAGAGAGAGAGAGAGAGGAGAGAGGAGCTCAGTGTGGTAGGAAGGAGGAAGTCGCCCAGCAGACTAGGCCTGCATCATCCTAATTAGGGGCTGGTCCAAGGTAAGCCTGAGCCAGCCCCTAACTATAAGCTTATCAAAGAGGAAGGTCTTAAGTTGACTATTAAATGGGACGATGATGTCTGTGTCCCCGACCAGAACTGAAAGATTTCCACATCCATAACCATTTAATAAGCTTTAAGTATCAACAGTTGCAACCTTATAACAGCCATGCAAATATTGTTTATAGCTGTTTTACAAACTGTTAACAAATACTTAATATAGTATATGAAATGCATTAATGTGTGCAACAATAAACTGATAAAATTCCGTAAATTATATGTCTAACAGCACCCCTGTATGTACACACTGCTGGCCAGATTCTCATGAGACCGTGCGAAAACTCTCCTCTGTGACCTGCAGGATTCCAGGCAGAGACTACAAGCAAGATCTTCCCCCTCCAGCGGGTGATGAGAGAGCACGCCACTGCCATATTCTGCTGTGTCCCCTCAAGAGGAGTCAATATTAACAGCATGACCTTTAATAACAGCAAATACACTCTTTTCAACATCGGAGACAGAGTCAAGGCTATCACTGTACATAACCTGACCATCCCGACAACACGCATTAAACGTCTCACGCTCACCTGCCATGATACAACAGGAAAGCCAAGTTATGCATGGAACTACATCAGTTGTAAGTTTGACTTTTTTTTTCTTTTTACATTCTTCATTTTTTTAATATTATTTTTTACATATATGTATGTGTGTGTGTGTGTGTGTGTGTGTGTGTGTGTGTGCGCATTGTAGTTCCTCCCCTTAAGCCCAGAAACATCAGCTGTTTGACCTCAGACATGACAACCGTCATTTGCACCTGGGATCCAGGCAGAAAACGAGATCAATATGATCACAACAAGCAGAGTCACACTCTCCACATAGAGTGAGTGCTTACATTACCCAAAATTCACATGTACAAACACATGTATACAGGACAGAGCGTCTCAGGCCTAGCATAATGATATTTTTGATAAAGGTAAACAACAAGGTTTCAAATACAAAATGTATATTACATTCATTTGGAGCTGCCTCCAAGTTCTTCATACTAGACTACAAATGTTTACCACACTGTAACTAAACTGGATTACGGGGCAACAAGGTTGTTTGTCCCAGAGCAACAGTTCTTTTGGATGTCTGAGAGGTCTTTTCCCGTTCCCTCCTCTGAAATCACAGGAACTCAGACCAGGCTCCCATCAAATGTCAGCAGTTTCCTTGTACTTTCTCGGCCGTCCCACAGTTGGAAGAATACAACATCAGTGTGGTGGTGAAGGACGAGCTGGGAAAGACGATGGAGAGCTACACCTTCAACCTGTCTGAAAGAGGTCAGAGTTCACGCAGACATTTGATCAGAATATTGAATATACAGTGTATGATGTTGCTGTACACTTTCAAATGTGCTTTGACGGCTGAAATACTCAAGAAACATGGCATTATCAGGGCAGTCATTGTGTTGTTTCAGTGTTCACTGCATAGATACTTGAAGATGAACATTTGTGCATGTGTGTGTTGCTGTTAGTGTTTCCTGTTGTGGAGGTGAAAACAGTGAGCCCTGGGGCCACAGACACTGCTGTGTCCTGGGTCGTACATGGGAACTTGACCAGACTGAACCTCCTCTGTCAGGTCACTGCAGACCCAGACAGCACCACACAGGTGAGTTTAATCCATGGAACTAAAACAAACATCCTGCAGAGCTGAATATTTTAGTGCATTTATTTTTAATCTTCTGTCTGTTTTTTTTTTTTAACAGCTGAGTTGCAATAATGTGAGCGGTCACTGCAAAGTCAAACTGGAACATCTGCTTCCCAACACCCACTACTCCACTAGGGTACGCTGCTCTCTCAATGGCAGGCTCTGGGGAAAATGGACACAGCCCATATCCTTCACAACTTGTGAGTACAAAAACTTTGTATTGCCAGGATGTTATGGTGTATAAAGGTTGTCAGCATGTCTATTCCAGGTCCAAGTTCAATTAGACCATGCTCTGCCCAAGTTGGGACCAAAAATGTCGTCATATTTCAGGCCATAAGTTACCCTTCAACATTCATAAACTCAGGAAATCATGGTTGAATGATATCCAACTTTGCCTGAAACAAATAATCATGTGATCTCTTCAGATCCGTTGGTGACCTTGGACGTATGGAGGAGAATAAAGCAGCTGCCCGACCCGAACAGTCGTCAAGTTACTCTATTGTGGATTCCAGTAAGACTCCAAACTCGTCTTTTTTATTTTGGTGCAAATGGTGTAATAGTACACAAACTCTTTGTTCAATTAAACTAGTCACCAAACTTTTCCCAACTTGTTCCCAGCATGCTCCTGGCTCAGCACTCAAAGAGATCATCAAAGGCTATGACATTAAGTGGTCACAGGAAGGCAAAAACTGGACCGATAGGAAGGACAGTGGGCAAAACCAGGCAGACGTGTTCATCAATGGGGGACAGTATGAGTTCACTGTCCATGCTGTTGTTCTCAGCAACTCCAGCGTCCCTGCTCACATCACCATCCCATCACAGAGGGATAATGGAGGTGAACAACGCCTCAGCTGAGATTGTCTCAGTTCAGTGTTGGTGGAAGTTTTCACTCTGCTAGTGTTGATTTTTTGTTCATATGGCTGTTCAAATTTACCCTCACTGATACTTTTTTGGTTGCCTGACAGTCTGCAATTCATGTCTCTGTCAGAAATCCTCCCAGTAACGAAGCGGTTGAGCAGCAGCGCAGCAGCTAGTTTTAATCTGTCCTGGGACGAGCAGCACACTGTCACCTGTGGCTACACCGTGGAGTGGTGCATTCTGGGAAACGCAGAGCCTTGTGTTCTGCGATGGCTGAAGGTGCCTGAGGGAAACAACACATTGTCCCTAGCTGCTGGTGAGCTTTTATTTAGCTGTTTTCCTTTAGTTGTCAGTGCTAATGCATCTATTTAAGTTTTTCCTACTTCAGCATTCATTGTCATACACTTTTATTTTGCAGGAAACTTTAAAGCAGGTCATAGGTATACATTTAATATCTACGGATGCACAGAGAATGGACACAGGCTACTGGAGGTACAGACTGGATACTCACAAGAGTGGAGTGAGTGTCATTACTGATCAATGAGTTAAACTGGAATTGTGTGTCTGTGTATTAATGTGCATCTACAGCAGTAGCTCTCCCTGAGTGTTTTGCTGGTCTATTAGAGGGGTTTATGTTTCAGAGCTGATGCCTCAATGGACAGGACCGGTGAGACAAACTAAAAGATGAGATCTCATGCACATGGTTAATTTTTTTTTTTTTTTTTTAAATGACAAGACAAAACACTAACAGAACAACACAAAGACGACAAGTACTGTGAATACAGGCCAGTAAACAAAATTGGGATAATGGGATAAGAGAACAAGGTTATGTAAGTTGTGTTGATTTAATGTTAGTGTATACGAGTGTTTTTGTGTGCGTCTCTGTTTTAAAGTCAGGGATGAAGTCTGTGCAGTGGATGAAATGAAAAGTCAACCTTTTAACAAGGTGTGGCAGCTAAAGTTTTGACACAGGACGTCTTTATCGGATATTCGAATGGGGACCTCCTCTAGATGTCATGTAAACACAAAACACCATCTTTCCTGTTTATCAGTTGTGCAGAGAGGAGGAAGCAGGGACAAGATCATTATGCAAGTTATATTCCTCTTGACAGATGTCAGTGAACACAACACCAGGTTTCATTTGATGACAAAATAACCACAAAGTGATCACATCGAAGCTCTTGCAGCAGATTCTGACAACAGCACAACAATGCAGGCGTCACGTAAACAGTCCCCTGGTCGTATCATTTGGGGAAGTTGTGTTCTTGCTTCTGTTGCTTTAATTGTTATTGATGCTATCCGTCTTCCTTCCTCAAAACCACCTTTTCCTCAGAATCTGTCAGGTCCCCAGAACTAGTTGAACCTGTTCAGAGAACTTCCTTCTCTGTGACACTGGAGTGGCGTTACAATGAGGACGATCCGGCTCATCCAGCGTTCATCACTGGTTACCTGGTGACAGTGGAGTCTGATACGCTGCCAGGTCATGCTGCAAGTAGGTTCAGAAAAAGCTTCCAGTGTTAGTAATTCTTGACCTTGATCTCTTTTTGGGCTCAAAAAAAAAAACATGCTAAATATGACTGTATGTGTGCATCTAGATCGGTTCAACGTGTCAGTGGCAGACCCTCATAAGAAGTCTGTGACTATAGAGAGTCTGCAGCAGAACCAAGAGTATGCTTTCTCTGTGAGCGCTCTCACTAAGGAGGGGCCTGGACAACCAACCAATATCATTATCAGGACCAGAACCAACTGTGAGCTCCTTAACATCCAGTACAATCATAGAGATTCAATAATTCAACAGTATTTATCATTTTACTTTTTTCTCTTTTGACTAAAAGTTCATCTTCTGTTTCCTCTGGTAGACTCTGCTCACTTGGTCAAGATACTGACTCCCATCTTGTTACTGCTGGGATGCATCCTTCTCTTGTGGCCTCGAAGAGAAATGTGAGTAACTGTACCTCGAAATCTCCACTTAAACATTAACTCCTGCAGAAGATGACCTGAAGCCTTTCTCTTGCTTCCATCTTCCAGGCTGAAGAGCGGGCTCAAGGAGGTATTTGCTTATCCTGCTGGTATGAACATCAAAACTCCAGAGTTAGACAGCTTCCTGCATGAGGTAAGGCGAAACTGTTGAAACAGTGAGACCATTCATAAAGAGGAAACCAAAAAACTCACCAAAAGTTGCCTTTAGTACACGATACATACATTTTCCCTCTTTTCTTTTGGAGAGCACGGAGTATTGTTTTCAGTTTATTATAGATGTTTTAAACACTTGTTTAGGTGGCTCATTCATTTTTGTTTATTCCAATCACTGGCTTATTTCACTCATGTCTATATAAGAAAATTACACACAAGAACTAAATTTCCTGGCTAGTTAGTGCAGATGAGTTCCAAAAAACCATCTCAAAGCATCTCAAACTAAATCCCTGAGACCCTGCATCCTCATCCTCATCCTTATCCTTCATCTTCTCAAATTGGACCTGTCGTCCATGTTCGTAGACACTTTTTTGTGTCACCTAGTGGTAACAGAAGAACAAAACTCTAAACCATGTAAAATCGAGATGGCCAACTCTGCCATATCAGTCTGCAGCCGATCCAGATACAAAAGTGAATAAGGTACAAACCCTTCCAATTGGCCAGTGTTTGTTTACTTAACAGGATACGGCATGGTTTAGCTCCCTGACCCCTAAAACTGTTTATTTAACAGTTCATGGGGAGTTAGACAAATAAGATCATCAACAAGGGGAGACTCAAACATTCAATATCAGCAACAAAATAATGCCCTCCCTACAAATGTCAGAAACTGTTTGAGTTTTACTCAGTTTAAAGCTAATGTTAAAAATGGTTGAAAGACAGACGTTGGTGAAGGTTCTCAGTCATCCAGGTCACGGTAATCTTAGGTGCTATATTGTAGGCAGGTGGACTTGGTTGAGTTTCTTGAAGATGTTTCACCTCTCATCCAAGACGCTTCTTCAGTTCTACCTGACTGGTGCCGAGTCACAGGCTTTATACACTGTGCAAACACTTACAGAGTCATTGAGGTCACATGTGAGCTGAGTTTCTGAGTCGTTAAGGCCACATGTGAGTTGCTGACCCACCTGGCCATCATGTGTGTTGTTAAGGTTACATGGGTCCAGGTGTGAAACACACCTTTCACACCTGAACCTGGACCGTTAGAACTGAAGAAGCCTCTTGGATGAGAGGGAAACGTCCTCAAGAAACTCGAGCAAGTCCAGTTGCCTACGGTATAGCACCTAAGATTTGAAAGACAGACTGGTAGAAAGACATGTCTGGTAATTCCTCTCTTAACGTTCATGCACTTGTTTGTCCTACAGGTGTATGTATTTATTAATGTTGTGAGGAATTATCATATTCATACTGTTGTGCTACATGAAATAACCTTTTTATATTGTTATATGTGCAGTATATTTCACGCCCAGGGACAACAGATGAAAATGAGCTTTAAATAAATCAGTAAAATTAAATTTGTAGTTTGATATGGCATACAAATACAAAACACTAAGACACTGTTAATTAGGACGTATTCATTTGAGGACATTAGGACTTTATTTTTGTGGTACCGTAACATTTCACACAGGCCAATTAAGTGTGGCAGAACTGAAATATACTAATTTACTGAAATCATCACCTGAAATAAACTATTTTATACTTTATTGCACATTTGTGACTATTAAAAATAAACCCATCATCTTCATATGAGGACATCTTTTTTTCAAGCTTGTTTTTTTATTATTATTTAATTATCAGGTGCTACTAATCCCAAATAGCTAGAAGAAATAGAATATACAAACCAAACAAAAGGTCAGATCTCAGGAGGTTATATGATTGTTGGTACAAAGGAGGCTTTAAGAGCATTTAAGGGAAATTCTGTATTTGTCAAGCTGGATCTTATTTTCATATTTTTGGTCCATTATGAGGTCATGATAAAATTTTACTCACCACCTTATTGTAGAGATTTGTAATACAGACTAAGGCAAGAAAAATATCCAAAAAAACTTCCAGTACAACAGAAATAGTGTCAAACTGAGTCTGAATGAATGTAAACTGCATAGCAAAGAAGATCCATGCTTCGGCCAGTCTACCTGCCGTAATCATGCACACACACCATTTTGTGATATCGACCTGCTTCTCTTATCTAAACTCATGCATAATTATTTGCCTCACATTACTATAATCCCCTCTGTGTGTTTGCGCAGACCAGTGAGAGGCTGCAGTCTCAGAAGGTGGAGGAGTGCAGCTGCTGTGACATTGAGATCCTGAATAGCAGACCTCCTCTGGATGAAACCCTGAACACACTGCCCTCTCCTGGTTCCAAGTCCTTCTCTCCAACGTTGCCACACCAAGTAGACTACTGTCCGCAGTCAGTCACAGTGTCCTGGGACACACCTGACCTTCAACAAATAACATGCGTCACAAACAAGACGTACTTGCCCACCGCGGTGGAGGATTTGTCTGAGGCGGAAGAAGTCACTGAGATCAAATCAAGTTGTGAAACCTCTGAGAGTCTGCTGGAGTCATGCAGTGTTATTTACGGTTATATCTCCAATGATAATCTATAAGTGAAAAGTTAAAGAAGTAGGAGTTTAAGATAGGTGCTTTGTTTGTTAGACAGAATGTTCCTGCAGCTTTCTGTTGTAAATCTTTTGTATTAATGTCACGTTTCCACTTACTATATACTGTACATCTATACATTGTACATTTGTGATTTTATTGGGAAACTATAGCTTGCAGATGTTATAACATATTGTATGTAGAACAGAAAACACTCAGCAGGTTATCTGGACAGTATTTTAAACTGCTTATGGCTTCTGCAGCAATACAGTCCAAAAGTAAAAGTGTCCATAGTGACACAAGAGGAACTCAGTGTAAAGATTTTGGTGAACTGTGAAGCAGCTACAGATGTTATCTGCAGGATGCATCTGGTAGCACTGATAAGGCAGCTGAGCATATGCATCTTTTTTGAGCTTTTGATTTTATATTACTTGTATGGCCCTATTGAAACGTGTTTTTAAATAATCAAAAACTGTACTGGACTATCAGGGTGAAGGAAGTACTATGTATAAGTTACGTAATAAAATATTGATGCAAGGATTAAAAGGGTTACTTGTCACTATTTCTTTTCTCTGCAGCTCCTCATCAGTGACTAATGGGTAAGAGGTGTTTTTACTGTAATAAGCATCTGACTCAGATACAGAAAAACAGTCAGGAATCTCAAACCTGAACTCTCTCTACTTGTTAAAACAGGTCATTCACTAACAGCAGAAACCTCCTACAAGTTTACAGATATTTTGCTCCACAGTTATGACTCCCGTTTTTAGCAAATACTCAGTTAATAAACAGACACGTGTTCTGACTGAGAACGTGATTTCATAATTTATCTAGTGTGCTGTTGCCATGTGCATTTCCAGGTGCCAAAAACAACCAGGTTTTGGGAAGACAGATTATTGTTTTAGTCACTTCAAAGGCACCTGAGGAACCGAGTGAGGTGTGTAATTGTTCTCACAAGTGTGTCGCTACATGGAGAAACACACAGAACTGGTTCATAGCATGAAATCTGTTACCTACAGTAAATGACTGACAGTTACTGGAAATTTTTTTTGAAAATTAACATAGCTGTGTGTGAGCATGATCTTGGTTTCGCTACAGGTAGAAATCTAGGTCAGAGGAAGTAATCGCACTGATCTTACATCTTATAGTTCTCTTTTAAAGATATTTCTAAGGCTTTTGCCTTTAATCAACAGGACGGTTGTTAGCATGAAGGGGGGTGGGGGGTGGGGGGTCATAGGTTGAAACTGAACCCACAGGTGCTGCAACAAGGGCAAAGCCTTTGTACAGTGGGGCACCTGCTCTACCACTTGAGCTAATGGGTGCCCTGATTATGCAGATTTTCACTGTTTTCACCTCCATCTGTTTGACCTTACAATGAACAGGTGTATTGAAAATTGTTTGTACTGGTTTTTCGTTCTCTCATTTACTGATTAATACACGTTTACAAGTGCATGTATTTTATATAACTGCAGGAATGTCCCATGTTTTTTCTCACCAATTGTCATTTTAAATACGTCAGATTTAGAACATCATGTGATTTATTTATATGGTATATCCATGGATGGATTACTGAACAGGCTTACCAGGCACAAGCCCAGGGGCCCAAAGTGTCAGGGGGGCCCCGCTTGCCTTCACTTGTGAAAATGTCAAATGTCAAATTAACATATATGGAGCAGGAATACAATCACAATGACACAAAACTATAAAAAAAGTACACAAAATGACCTCAACGACACAAAACAACCACAAGGAGGCACAAAATGACCACAAGGATGACAAACAGATACCAAGCCACCAAACAGACTCTGACCTGGTTCTATGTAGGACAGATGATGGATCCCTTTGCGTAACAGTGCCCAGGGGCCCATTGTTTCATAATCTGCCCATGGGTGTGTCTCTACAATCACCAGAATTAAAGATATTTTCAGAGTTGTGTCAAATATTTCCACACCACAATCCTTGGCTCAATGCAGCTGCCATCCACCTTTTCAGTGCAGTCCAAACATCTGCTGTGATGTTTTAACGAAAATGTGGATCCACTTCATTTCATCTAAGGTATGACTGTATTGCACATCAGTGATTAGTATCTCAGTTACAGTATCATCTCCATGCTGATTAATTGCTGGTTCCACCGAATCACATTCCCCACTCATAACGTAGTTCAGTCAGCTCCACTCTGTGTTCTTATGAAGTTGCAGAACTGGTTCTGGAAACGACACAGTGTCAGACCGCTGCTGTGATGTGGCTGCAGCAAAGTCAGCCACTGGAGTAGCATGTAATTAACTGCATATTAAGTAGGGTGGCTTTGTGGCTGTTGGACTGTAGCCATAAATGCAGGATGTGTCCATCCGGCCCTTTTCTTCTTGTTGACCATAAAGATTCAGCAGCTCATGAACTTGCATAACCTGATATTACTGATGTCCATCACACACTCGTTTCCCTTTACACTCATACTGACACTATGAGCTGCTCATTAAAGTTTCTATGGAAATCCACCCACAGTGTTTTTTCCTCATTCCAAACTTCTGGTAAGTCCCAAACACCCCAGAAAACAAAAACAAATCATTTGAAGTTCACCAAACTGCGACTCAGTCACAGATCTTATCATTTATTCATATTCACATATTACTAAATGTAAAAAAAAAAAGTCACAGTTCATAACAGAGAGTCAAAAGTCATACAGTAGTGACAACATCCTGAGTAACGTGAATAAACCATGGGGATTTTAAAGAAGACAAAATCAAAATCCATTTCTAGATTTCCACAGTATATTCTATATAAAGTCTCGAGCGGAGGTGATTGGACGATTGTCCTGAACACCCGGGCAGCTTTAGGAGTTTCCCCCAAAAAAATCTTTAGGAAACAAGGACAAACTAAAATGGACATCAGTGTGACCTAATGATACCATGATGTGCTATAAAATACTACTAAGAAGTACTATGGCACAACAGAGGACATGTTTGAAATGCAACTGTCCATCTGGTGCAGAAACAAAACATGCAAATAAAAAAATCTACATACTAAAAAGTACCACAGTCTCTCTCTCAGACACACGCAGCTTATCGGTGGCTGAAGCGAGCTGTGGCCGGAGCAGCCTCGACCCTCAGTAGTGCAGAGTTCACAGAAAACAAGCAGCATGACCTGACCCGCCAAACAAGTGTTTCACATCAACATGGAGCTTTGGGTCAACAGGGGCCACCAGCAGACAGTAAAGCCGAGGGAAACATTAGTGACATCCACTCAGCTGAGTCAGTATTATTGTGGTTTGATCTTTGGATCTATCAGGAGGATCTTCTTCAGCAGCTTTATGTCCCTCTGGTGCTTCTCTCTGACCGGGAGCAAAGTCCGCTCTCAGATTTTAGTCCACATCATTAAGATCCAAAATGTCCCGCCTGGAAGCCGGTCTTCACACAGACGTCCTCTGGTGTACTCTCACCCTCACCTTGTTGTGCTTTCTGGAAGGGGAAACACAAATGAGTGTTCACATGACAACAAAACAATAACACTGTTTAGCACAAAGTGGAAAAAGTGCCGATCATGTGAGGTGATTCGTCTTTCTTTGATGAGCTGGGATACAAAGTTCAGACATGTGATGCTAAAAGGCACTTTGCAAGATCGCTGTGTCAACAAAATCAGACTGAGGCTTCACCAAAGTCGAGTCAGGGCTTGTATCTGTCCTTTACCGTTGTGGTGGTGACACCATGCACTTCCAGAGGACGGCGTAGAGACCGAGTAAGAAGACAATGAACACTGTGGCTGCAATCGCACCTGAAAGCACATAAACGTACATGTTAGAACACAACTACGCATATGACGACATGTGCATGCAGCAGGACTCACTGTGCGTTGTATCATCTGCAGAAATAATTTGTTTATCCAGTTGAGTGAATGAACCGGTTCCTCCACATAAACAAAAACTGTTCATGACTGTGTACGCTCATATTCATGCTCCTCATTTTCTTGTCCATCATCACTGCACTATCACATATCAAACACACTCTGCAAGAAAACACAACTAGAGAATCCATTCAGTGCTCTGGAGCATTCTCCCTTCCTGTTAGGGGCTTGTAAATGTCATCTCTCAGAGCTCTGCAGACTATCATCCTGCATTCATAATATTCCTGCCCGTTGCTGAGACCTGAGGAATTTCACTGCCCTTTCCAGATTTCTAGTCAGACTCTGGCGAGCTGACACTGTTCTGGCAGTGTTATATTTTTGAATGTGCATGACAAAAACCACCCGTCTCAGAGTATTTTTGGAAAATCCCAGCTTCTGACTCCGCCAGTGAAAATAACCCCCAGCAATTTGACCGAAATGACAAGCCATCCGTTGTTTTGCAATAATACTCAGAAAAGAGCTGCCAAATAAAATGTTTTTGAATATTTGAAAGCTTTCTGGGGCTGTTGGTGGAGTAACCTGATCCCCCTTTATTTGAGAGTCTCAACCCTCTGAGTGAAAATAGTCTTTGTGAGCTGTTGACTTAAGGTTCTCAGAAATCAGGTGTTTTTTTCCGAAACAGATGCTAGAGTCTCAGCTTTTGCCATCGCACAGACGACTGAGAGTCCCACAGGCTCGACTGAACAGGTTGAGGAACCCTTTTGTTTCTCAGGCTGTCAACAGTGGGCTCAGTTTACCCGGGTCGAACACAGAATGTAATCGGAATAATCAATTTGTTGCTTTGCAACCATTTTTCTTTTGGTTACATGCTTTGTATTGTTGTTTTCATGTGTATTTATGTGATCCAGTTAAAATCAAATCAAACTACAGGGTGTAAACACATCAGATTTGTGTCAAAGCGGAGCTCACCAGGGATGATTCCACTGCTGCTGGCTATAGAGTCCTCTGTGCCAGGATGGGTGGCAGCTGCTGTCGAACCTTCATGGGAAAAAATAGAAATACAGAAAGCACAACAGTGCCAATATGTAAGATTTTGTATGTGATACATTTGCCTGACTGATTCATGATTGAGACTACATGGGATGTAAAACCTTTTTGATCCAAACCTCTCTTGGACATCTTGGGACTATTTTTTCTGTATAATGCACATACTATAAAACTTCAATTAAAAGCTTCGTCCCAATTAAACGCCCAGTCCCTTTTACTAGCCCGGTGTGGCTACACATTTTGACAAATTAACACCTGTCTCCACAATTCAATCGTTAAGTTAATTTTACTGAAACCATGAACGCCACAGAATGCAGTAATTCATTCAAATTTACCAGCCTGGTAAACAAGAGAGATGAAAATTCAGATTATGTGTCTATTCCTCGATTAGCTGGTGAATTATTCATATTCCTTTACTCTGTAACGGTCCTCAGATCAAATGGATCAGAGGGGTTTTTCATAAAAATTCATCTGAGTTGTAAATATTGGGATAAAGAGGTGTCATGTCGGTATGCCAGGTACTGTAATCATCAGGTGCTGTAAAACAAGTGTCTTAATTCTGTCGGATGATCCAGCTCTGTCTGTCGGAGCTCGATCAAACGAATGATTCATAATTTACAAGTTATTCAAAGTCAAATTCTTATAGAAGTAATATTCATACTGGTTTAAATGAACGATCTGATAGTAGATCATCTTTGCTGAGAAACAGTTTTGTGTGAGAGGAGTTGGCCTGTTGAGCTCAGTGATTTAAGCAAATAATAGCCCAGGCTACCATAAAACTTTATTGTATATTTGATCTATGCAGCAAAGACCAAAGGAGATTCCTTGTAAGTGAAACTTTACATGTTACTAAACCTTACTCTGATTCTGATTCTCTGTTAAACTAATTTATTAAGTTCTATTATATCCATTGTCTGTGTATTTACACTAATTTCCTCTGATACCGTTAGTGGTTTTCAGCTCTGCACACCAACTACAGTGTTTCACATAGTATGTTTCCATTATATCCCCTGGTCACATGGAATAATTTGCATTTTTGTGACCACCATTGTGATTTCATTTTGAACAGGGACTCGGTTTCAGTGGAGCTTTGGTATTCCTGTGATGTTACTCTGACCTTAAATTGATTGCCAGTCACCTGAAGCTGACATACCACTGATTGGAATTTACCTTAAGTGGTTTTCCTGTTTATCTGGCACTGTTATCTGATCATAGGGGCCATAGAAGTGGACAAACATGTAGTTCAGCTTTTTACCAGAATTTCTAAGACACAAGATACCAGCTTGTAACTATAAACTCAGATAAGAGTCAAAGGGAAAGATACAAGAGGACAAAACTCACCATTTCTGTGCTGCACGGTGTGTAAAAGCTGCCTGGTGAGATCTGGGTCAACCATCTGAAAATGCAGCAAAACATGTATTTGAACACAACAAATGTGGGGCAAAGGGCAGTGACAGGACAGGACAGGACACATTCAGATACTTGTCCTGTGATAAACCTGCCACTTTACACAAATATTTGGGACACACAAAAAAGTAAAGAGAAATGGAGAAGTTAAGTGCAGGCTGGATCAGCTTGCAGTCATGCTGCTTTCTGCAGAGGTTGGAAACTTGCTAGAGGAAGTCAAATAATGTGGAAAATCAGAGCGCTTCGGGCAACGACAGGCAGCACAGATAAGAAAACGTGCGAGATAAGAAAATATAAGTGGCCCATATATTTCCAAAACATTTCCGTCGAGACATTTGCTCCTGCAGCAAAGTTACAAAGCAGCTTCCGGTGGAGGTAAAAACTTTTAAGAGTAACAGGAGGCTTGTAAACAAGTAAATCAGTGACGGGTCAGGTTTTAACCGTCGTACAGCAGCACCGAGAGAGAGAGAGAGAGAGGCTCACTTCTGGATACACAGACTTGTTTTGCTCCATGGCTGCTCTTCAGACAGAGCAGAAAAAGCATGTTTCCTTCTTTAGCTTCTTACCTTTGAGCTGTTTCCGCTGCTGATGATTGTTTTGCTCTTGTTTTTCACCTCGGTCCACATTTTTGAGGCTGTGCGGTCAGACTTCATCAGTTCATCATATTTTCTTCCTCTCACCTCAGCTGTGCGCCCAGACGCGCCTCTCGTGCTGCGTTCAATGGCTTCTTTTAAACTCGTACTTCCCCAGACGATAATGTGATACATGTACATGCATTGAATTTCAATACATGAGATACATGCTACCTACATATGAAGTAAATACATATATGTACAAACTATACACGAAACACATTAGAAAACAAAACATTTTTATATGTTGATAATGTATGTCTGGTGTCAGGGGCATATATATAGACAGTGCAGGCAGTGTGGTTGCACTGGGGCCCCCCAGGGTGGAGTAGCTCACTTGCCACCTGGAAATACACCCATGTATGAATTTGAATTTTATTTGCACACAGGATGTGATGAAAAAAAGTATATATATGAATAAACATCATGCAGGAGAGGTAAGAAACCTGAGGGGAAAAGACAAAATATTGCAAACTTATTTTCTTTGTCTGTCGTTTCATTCTGAACATATTCCACAAAGTCTGGAGATTACTGATGCAAAATATCTCTTAGGAAAGTGCCATTAAAAGTTACTGTTAAAAAATCCAACTTGTAGTAGCAACATATTTTCACAAGACAACTTACAAATGCTCTCATTCCAACCAACACTATTTTCAATGTTTAGTGTACACAGCATCTTTTTCTTTAACTTTTAAATAAACTTTGATAATTTGAAATCTGTTCTAATATAAAAAGTATTTCTCTCCTACATATGAGAATACAACAGATAAACAAGTAGTTATAATAATCATAAATTAAACAGACACGTGCATAACATTAATTGTTCAAAGAAGTACTCACGTTAAATCACAAATGGTGTGATTTTTTATATACACCCTCAAAAAGGCAAACCCATCTCCATCATGGTTTTCTGTTTTTGTGAAATAGTATCAATCTATGACAAAAACATATGCTTATTCTACATAAATTATATATTTAAAAACTATAATAAAAACATTTAGTTAAGCTAATAGTTCACTATTTTTTGTAGTTTTTGTCATATACAGCTATGTAATGATGATTGCTGGGTAACATGTATATTGATGTTGTCTTTGTTTAATTATGTAATGACATGTTGTGATTTACAGCAGCTAGTTTAGGTGCAAAATCTCTCATGACTGACAAACCGGGCACATCTGCAGGTGGATATAACATACAAGTGGCAGGTAAAATATGTATTTATGCCTAAAACTGTGTTTGTGCTTCATAACTTGATATTTAAGATATTTTTAATATATTTACATCTTCAATATATGCTTATATATATATATATATATATATATATATATATATATGTATATATGCAAAGCTGAATTAGAAAACATATATGCATACAGATTTTTTGTATATATGTTGTATTCATGAACTTGCATAAATTAAACATATATCATACACATATATATACAAATTTAACAATAAGTATATAAGTATGTACAGTCAGGTCCATAATTATTTGGACAATGATACAGTCAAAACTCATTGGACGATGCTTCACAGTGCAGATGGACATTGACCTGAAGCATATTGCAAAAGCAACCAAAGACATTTTTAAGGCAAAGAAGTGGAATGTTCTGCAATGGTCAAGTCATATCATCTGACCTGAATCCAATTGAGCATGCGTTTCTGTTGCTGAAGCCAAAACTGAGGGCAAAACACCCAAAACACAAGCAGGAAGTGCAGACAGCTGCAGTAAAGGGCTGGCAGAGCATCACCAGGGAAGAAACCCAGCATCTGATGATGCCTATGTGTCCAACACTTCAGGCAGTCATTGACTGTAAGGCATTTGCAACCAAGTATTAAAACTGACTGTTTAATTGATGATTATGTTAGTTTGTCCAAATACTTATGAGCCCTTAAAGTTGGGGGACTGTGTGAAGAAATGGTTGTCATTCCTACACGGTTCATACTACATTTTTGAAAAAAGCCTTAAATGAAAGCTGAGAGTCTGCACTTTAAGCAGGTATTCATTGTTTCATTTAAAACCCATTGTGGTGGTGTACAGAGCCAAAATGATGACAACTGTATCATTGTCCAAATAATTATGGACCTGACTGTATATATGTGTGTGTGTATATATATATATATATATATATATATATATATATAAAACCATTTCAAAACGACTTGTATGTCAAAAATTAATGAGAAAGGCATATATAAGCATACATAATTTTTGTATGTTGTTTTATAAATACGTATAATATATAAATTACATATATATCATTAACATATATGGTAGCAACATATAATACCATACAAAAATCAGTATATAGGTCTAGATATTTTAGTATATGCACATGTAATTTTTCTACCAGTTGATTTATGTCATAAACTTTATCTTTATTCAGGGGATGAATGTGCGTGATGATAATATATCTCCCTAAGGGTACCAAAGGTAACATTGATATAGTGTCATAAGTTATATTTCCATGTGGGTTACACTTAACAATGACAAGAACCTAAAATGTTTATTTAGTTGTCAATCAATCAATCAATCAATTTTATTTATAAAGCCCAATATCACAAATCACAATTTGCCTCACAGGGCTTTACAGCATACGACATCCCTCTGTCCTTATGACCCTCGCAGCATTCTAAATTATAAATTAGTTGTAACTTTTGATACCAGTCTTCCTTAAGTGTAATTTATTTATACAAAAAGCCCATCCAGATTCTTGACAATGAATGGTTTGCTTTCACACGTGGGCTAACATTTGTTGAAGAAACCTCTCTGCTAACCACCTCATTTCTAATAATATAAAAATTGTATCCACCAAATACTCTTGAGTCTTTCATGGATTCCAAGGCAAGAATTTCCTACAACACCTGAAGGGTGCATCAGCTTCTTCACTGGCCTTCCTGTTGAGAGGAGGAAAGGCTGCACAGTTCCCTGTTTGCTGATTTAAGATATGGATATCAAAGATAGGCCTGATAACTTCCAGACACTGCACAGGACAAGTTTACCTTCGCGCTATTTACCAGGATTTCCTGCGACACTTCAATGCCACCTTGGAGAGATAACACCAGCACACCAGGAGCCATTGTTTGTGTTTATCTATACCAGATTACATGTTCTGTAAACAATCAGTGTTCCAAAAACAAAATGTTAATACAGACAGAAAAGAACAGTTTATTATCTGAAGTCTTTGTCTTAAATTTGCAGACCAAAACGTTTAATGCAGACCGTTGAGCACACAGATTTTCAAATTTAGCACATTAATTTTGAAAAGAAGAAATTCAACAAATCTCAGAAATAACCGTGGGCACGCTTCACATGAATTAGTTATAAGAATAGCATATACAAAGGTCAATTTAATGTCCTTTATGAGAAATGTGTCCATTTATTCTCTCTGCTATAAAAGGAGAGACACACACCAACCGTCTGCAGAGATATTGCACAAAAAGTTTACACTGTAAAAGCAGATAGAGCGACTCAGATCACACAAACACAACAGTCCTCACACACAGGCACTCGACAGCAATGTAGCCTGCAGATGTTGTATATCAGCAAATCATACATACACACACGCACACACACAGCAGAAAGCGAGCAGAGAAACATCTAAAACACACAACCAAAGGCATCTCTTTATCTTATTCTCATCAGCAGATCCTGAAGACAGACACCTCTAACCTTTCAGACCTAAACACAAAGCAAACAGTGCTGACAGTGAAAAGAAACGCCAGCTGTGGAGTGTCTTAAAAATAAGATGTGAAATCAGTCAGTTTATGTCTGTCCTCTTTTAAAACTTTATATCAGCTTCTTTACAAGTGCACAATAAGAAGCCAGGTCTCCCAGAGTCACCTCAGTCACAATAAACGATGGTAAATGTTAGTGATCCCAGCTTTGAGAGACTGCATAGGTCTGGGGAAAAAAGTTGGTTAAGTGTCATGTGTGTTGGCTACCAGAGTGAAAAGCATGGCTACAATACCTAAAGTAAAAGAGAAGAGCGTACAGGTCCTGTCCTTCACACGAGACGACATGGTTTATAAAGAGGACAGGGGGCGTTACATGTTAGCCACACTGCAATAAGGCTGCGTCTATAAAGAAACATCTCTCTACATTTCACATCTACACTCCCGCTTCTCATCAGCTTTAAGATGCATCATCACTCAATAACACACTCACCCAAAGTGGGAATGTTTAAGGTTTCATTTAACACTATAAGACGGAGAAAAATCAAAGACGTCACGTAACTTAATCCAGTCTAGCAAAGATGTTTTAAAGTCATTGCAAAATTCGGTCAGATTTTGATATCACACGTCCAAGCAGACACTCACATTAGAGATTTTAACCTGACCTCAACACTGAGGCTCACTGGAACAATAAAAGTGACGAAACAGGGCCACCTAGTGGGCAGCAGAGGTTATGCCTGCAGGAAAGAGACAGTTGGGGTTTTGAATAATTGAACCGCAACGGTGACGCATTTAATGAAATCACTATATAAGACTGAGAGATTGTCAGAGTTGCCTTGAAGCAGAAGCACAACCGTGGTTAATACTCTTTGAAGAATTTTTACGTGTTGAAATCAAACTATCGCGATTTGATTCAATCAGAATAACATTAAATGGTTTGAAGACGTTTCAACAACACATCACCGATTACACGACATCACACTATTATGTCCGCAGCTGGTATTGAAACACCACACAGATGTTTTACCCTTTGAAAACGTTAAAATAATTTGAATGTTACTTCTTCCCCCGACCAAACCCCATCACTCCTTCAGCCCCCATCAGTCGCAATCTGGACAGGTCTCACTTAAGACTGGTCACCACCTTCCACCCTTCCGTGCTCTCATCCTGGCGCCCCATCCCGGATTAGACAGCGTTCCTTTCTGTCCTCTGCGTGGCTGGTGCGTGATGGGAGTTGTAAGAAAAGCAGAAAGGCAGAGAGAGGCATGTCCGCAAGGACGAGGCAGCGGCATCACATGATTTCACAGCATGAGTTCTGTTTCCGTGCCTGCGCAGTTAACATGAACACACATGCACGCAGTCAGGCATTGTAACAGTTAATGACCATTAGACTTCCAGTTCAGCGATAACAATCAGAGTTGTCGGTACTTACAGTCTTGTAGAAGGCTTTGGACTGGTTTCCCAGGTGCTCTGACTTTGCCACAAGATCATCCAGTTTCTCTCCTCTCTCCAACAAACTTTCCATAGTGTTGTGCTACAGAAACAACAGATGTGCTTATGAGGTATTGTGCAGTGTAAAGACTTCTGGAAATGCTAAGTTGTGTTTCAGGCATGCAGAGCTACAGTTTGGACCAATGCACTCTGGTGTGAAGATCAAATTTTCACACAAAATGGTTCACAGTGGCAGCGGTGGAGCCCAGAACTTGAGGCTGAGAAGAAACTACTTGTTGCCCCTCTCAGTTTAGCTCTCTAGTAGTGTGTGTTTTCTATATCCTATGTGTGTGTTTGGCCATAATGAAATACAAACATCAGAATCTTACCAAAATGATCTTTGTCTCATCCAACTCCGCCTGCACTTTGGTCATTGCATCTGCTTCCCTGGGGTTCTGGGGAGAAAACAACATGAATTTCAACTTTATGTTCCCAACTATACGTTAACTTAAAAACACATTTAAGTATTGTTTAGTAAACACTGTAAAACAATATAAGAAAATAGACAATATGACAAAAATACTCATGGGCTATCGGGGTTTCCTTTCACGTATTTTCTGATAAGCAGATTACACACTGACCTGGTATTTAGCAAGATGAATATCCAGGGCTTTGTAGTTTATGGTATCAGGATTACCAGAGGGCCAGTCTATACTGTCCACTTGTCTGGAGAACTCTTCTAATACCTAAAAACAGAATGAGATCTCAATACTGACAGCAAAGTGCAATAATGATGTGTCTTAATTTACATGTTTTGGTACACACCTTGTCTAGCAATGTGAAACAGACTCTCTGTGGATATTCAGTGTCTGCGATGACCACAGCACTCAGGTTGTCATTTCTTACATACACATGGCACAGGTACTCTGAAAGAAAGAGGAACCATGTATGATATGAGCAAAACAGAAGTGTGATTTTAAAAGAGGGCAGTTCCTGGTATTATGGTGCAGGTGTACTGCGAGCATGTTGGTGTACTATGCTAAGAAAAGCATGAGTAGAAGTGATAACTTTGTTAACATAATGTTCTTCTTAAAATGACTGATATGCAACCATCATGCATTGTGGCTGTGCTTGTCATTTTTTTT